TCAATACTTCGGTAATTGATGGCATAGTCGCAGGCTCTATTAACGCGCGATCTACATTCTCTGATTTTGCTGTACCGAGCAGACCACGAAGGCAACGACGATCCGTCGAGCTTGCAGAGAGGACTACCGGAGCGTGTCCCGTGCTGTTTGTCTCATTCAAAACTCTGAAGTAGACGCTTCATTATTGTATACACGTTGTCTTACAAGCTGAGCGAACACGTCTTTTCCCCTTCTTTTGGATGGAAAGCTGCGGCGAAAGTCTACCACTGCCAGCGCAATCGCGATACGTACAAGTTTCTTTCGTCTCAAGTCATTTACCAATGGACCGTTTACGAACGTCGAACTGAGACTTCGCAGTTCAAAAGAAGACATCTCGTGGAAATAGTCGTTGAGACTGTATCTGTTTCAGGGTGTCGAATAGGTTAAGCGCGCACAGACTCCGCGTCAGTAGCTCTCTTTTCTCCATACTCTGTCATTTCGTCCAATTCTTGCGTCTACTATCTCTTCCTATTTCTAGAAAAGACGCGCGTTCGAGCGCCGGCGCTTATCATGGATCATCTACCATCTCTTCTAGTGGATACCTACAAACGGTATGAGTTCGCTATCTAGATCGTCTACCCAGGTTGGCTAACCACTTCCTTTCATCTCAGATACAAAAGTGGTACGCAAATTGTAGCTACCTGGCTGGCAACATCAGCCGCCAAAATCCAGTCCATTGACCACTTGTTGATCAAGAACGCACGTCTCAAGGGACAAGCTCGCGCTGCAGCCCGACAAAACGGAGTGAGCGAAGTACCTCTAAACGCATTCAAGACTTTGGTCGACATCCTTGCGAAGGCTAAGATCACTTTGCCGACTGATATCGAAGCTATCTTGTGGAGTGTCATCACCGCTCGCAAAGAATGTGCAGGGTTCTACCGAGCGAAACCAGAGCGAGAAGCTGGTGATGGCATTGATGATGAAGGCCATCAGTTCTTCATCGACATCCTCGATTACTATTACCACACGCTTAAAGCGCCGACAGCAGGCAAGACCAAGGATGGACGCGAGAAAGGAGCTTTTACGAACAGTCGCACATCCAACTTCTTCGAACACCTCAGTCTGGTTCAAGAGCATGCTGAGCCATCGGGCTACGTGCCTTCGGTGGCGACAGACACGCAGAGCCGAAGCTACCGTATCAAGGAGTCCGCCAACCGAAAGAGTGAAAAGGCCTTTGCGCTTTTCTGTTTCCTCAAAGATATGACAGCAATTCGTTTATTCGTCCACAAAACCTGGCGCGGATACAAGGAACGTAGCCTGGCGCTCACCACAGCAGCGACGACCGCCAATGTCGCAGTTGACATCTTGCGACGGGTGAACGAGGCCTTCCTCAGAGACTTTCCAGAATTCGAAAGCCACCACAAAGTGATCAATTTCCTTGAGAGCTTCGAAGAACAAGGTACCAGCGGCATCACCCGGAAAGACGAGATGGGCTGGTACGATCTCGATGACTTCAAACTGTCACCGCAAACCTTCGTCTGCAAAGATACCTACAACGTGTATTTCCGAGACCATCTCTTCGATCACGACGGCAAGAAGGAAGTGATGGTAGATTATCACTCTGGCAGGAAAACTGCCAGAACCGAGCAGACTCACATGAGAAGGTGCCTTAGCGTCTTCTTGAGCCTCTCTAGGTCAGCCGATGTGGGCGCATTCACACGAGACCATGATATTTTAGCTCGCGCAATTCACACAATCGACGAGGAGCAGAAAGCAAGCACCTGGATCATATTCGCACTCCAGATGTTCGTCGACATGCACCGTGAGCTTGGTGCGGAAGTGCCTCGTGCGCATAGGGATCTCCTGGATGGTAACGCAAGGATGAGTGGCGCATTGAGACGGTACATCGACTTTGCAGAAAACCACGACGGCGAATGGGGCCGATATTTGCACACACAGCTAGCCTCCTCATGGCATCGCCTTCTTGAGACCCTTGAAAGGGTTGACTATGTCAGCGACACGTTCAAGATGCACAACTCGTGGCTCGGGGGAGGAACCTTGGTGGATGGTCCGTTCTACCTGGAGAATCAACCAACCTATGCTGGATGCACACTAGAGCGTCATAAGGAAGGTGTGCACCTGTTCGGTGTTGAGGCTGCAAGACATTCCGAGCAACTCTTGTTCGCCTGCCACATCTACAATGCCGGACTCAAGAACGGGCTGCTGCGACGGTGGCCTGACATGGAATATCTTATCGCCAAGCAAACTGAGACGCATCTCTTCCTAGGAACCCGTCCGGTCGGTTACGAAGAGTGCGATAAGCGGCTGCTTTTGATGCGAGGCTTCAGCCCCAGTGTGCTTGCCAAGCACAAGCGCGCCGGCAGGCCAATGTATGAGTTGTTCGAGACGATGGACACGAAGAAAAATTTAGGCGGCCGCAAACTGGAAATATTCTCCGCTTTCGTTAGACAGGCTTCCGCTTTTGACGGCCTAAAGCGGGTGATGCTGAAGACGGACGAGAATGGCAAGAATAAGAACGAGCCGATCTGGCTTCTGGAGCGCGTAGTCCGACATCGGCTGGAGAAGGAATCGAAGACGTCAAAGCATGGCAAACGCCGTAAACAAGAACTCAGTCCTCTCCAGACGCTTGAGACTTATCGAGACGCCATGAAGGAGGATGAATTCCTTCTCAACTTCGACATCATGACGCTGGATCTCATCGCCAACAAGATGATCCATGTCATCAAAGCCTGGTTGCGAGACTTTGGGGACTTGAAAGCTAGCTCGGTTCCTGGATCCAAAGTCAGTCTGAAATGTATCCGCGACATCGCAATGGCATCTGCGATGTTGTCATCAGCAAACAAGAAGCCGGAGATATGGGACGTCCTCGATCACATCATCAGTCGCGTCGGCAACATGTGTTACTTGCGCGCAGAGGCTCATCGCGGTACCGTAAATCTCCAACCCCGCAACCCGGCATACGAAGGCCAGTTTCTTCCGACTGCTGCTGTCTTTGGTGGTCCGAACTCGCCCGAGGTTCCGGAGGACTGGGAAAACAAGTGGGATATCGTTGCTGGGAAGGGAGCGTATGACTACCACGTCTCTACTACGGCGCTCTTGACATTGGAGCAGAGAGCCGCCGATAAGGCGCGTGAGGAGTTCTTGGAGAAGCTCATTCCTATCAATTATCCGGACTACAGCCAGGAACAGATTTGTCGGGAACTTGGAATGGAGTACAGGGATGTCACGCGATCGTTTCTTGTGCATTAACGGGAGTCTTTTTGTCTACATATCGTCTGTCTTTTGGTAGTGCGTAGATTGGACGGATGCGATCGTTTCGTGGTCGCAGTCACGACCCATGTGGAAAGTGAAAATAACGTGAAGTACAAGGTTACTGGTGTGAAATGAACGTGCCCTGTACTGCGACGAGCGTAAAGATTGCAGGGGAAGAGGCGTTTTTGTTTTGTCCACCCGAAGAGGGATAAGACGAGATGAGATGACGTAATCACCGCCGATCACACGCGCGTGGCTGGACGCGACCCCACGCTTCCAACACGCGTCAAGATGCTCACGAATCGTGATGCCGCCCAAGAGAGGTGCGTATATCGTCAAGAGCCTTGAGACGGGCTGGATTGACGTGATCAGCTCCCAAACGCAAGGCTACCGATGACGCAACAGTCAGTCGCAATGCCAACACCGCCAAGAGAGTCGCGCAGGAGAACGCGAACTTCCGGACTCCAAGAGAGTGGCCAATCGAGGCCAGAAAAGGAATCAAGAATGCGCTAGAATCTTCGCTTTTGCCTGATGCCGGCCAACCGGTCTCTGACGAATCAGATTCCGGCGACTCGGACCTCGCCGATTTCGAGGTTGACGGCGATGGCTATGATGCAGCCATCAAGGTGGAAGAAGAGCACGAGAAGCGCGTTGAAAGAGCGCACAGACATCTAGCAATAAGACTTCATCGAGAAGAGGAAGTGGAAGTGGGGGACGTACGAGGCGAGTGGGATCTCTACTCTCCCAACTATCTTGACCTACAAGAAGTCGACAACCGAGCGTTGATATACACTGGACGTTTCAACTTCCATCAATGGAAGACCGGGAAACTCATCATTGGAGAGCATAGCGATGACACAGCGCTCTCCTCGATGGAAGCCACTGCAAAGCTTTCCCTCTACGGTCTCAAGAACGAGTGGCACTTTCCTCTCAACCTCCCCAAACTCCCGTCTCTCGAGTTGCTGCCCCTGCAAGGCATCCGCAAAAACTACGAAGGTGCCGGTAACCCAGAAGTTCGACTCGGCATATCCTTCCTAGGAAACGGCTATTTGAAGATAAGGATACCGGGCATATACATTGCCGGCAAGAAGGAATGGAGAAGACACCTCACGTTCTATGGCATCAGCCGCACGTATCCGCCACGAGAGGTGGAGAGCCCTGAGCCGCTGCGACGACCTGCCACACCGCCGCCGCCGGAGGGGTTCAAGTACGGTAAGAGAGGCAATCTGGTTCGTATATCGAAGTCGCGACAAAAGCCAGCGCCGCAACCAGCGCCCGCTGAGCCGGTAGATGATCCTGATGATGAGCTGGTGTCTTCGGATGAGGAACTGAGGCAAAGGCTGCTCGAAGAGTTGGATGATAGCTTGTTCGTCAATTGGCCGGACGACAACTAGGGACTACAGTGTTGCTGGCGTCTCTATATGCCTCTGCAGAAGGCTTGTTTTTCACGACCCTTGCACATGCGACAGCACGATCGCGGATTTCTGTGGAAACCATGTCACAAGTACCGGGTCAAACGTGTATCGAAGACAGTGGATGTATAATTCTAGCAGATGCCACATTCAGCCTGGCTTGCTCATGTGCACGCGAGGAATGGCACAAACACATGTGCTTCCCTCTGAAAATGATTGCTTAACACACAAGGCGAGCGCTTTTGACAATCAGCCGTCTGGGGTGAAAAGCCCTTGATTAGCCACGAAAGACATCTCTCTACTTTCACATCTTTCGCCATCAGAGATTACGGAACAATGGATGCGTGCGCAGACCTCAAAAAGCCCGAGCAAGCCATGGAACAGCATCAAGCCTTGCTTCAACTGGCTAAGCAGATGAAAAGAAAGATTCCCGAAGACCGCAAGAGCAGAGACGCATTGCTAGCGGGCTTCCTACCCGCGCCTGGACTTGAAACAGCGAATTCTGATAGCGAGGATAGTGATGATAGCGAGGATAGTGATGATAGCGAGGATAGCGAGGATAGTGATGATAGCGAGGATAGCGAGGATAGTGATGATAGCGAAGATAGCGAAGATAGGCTTTGGATCAACACGTCGTTCTTACCACCGGCATATCCGCCTTCCGTCGTCCCTCTCAACGGCCTGCAGCCTATCGCGATCCAAAAGCTTCGGCTTGAACGACAACATCGCGGCCGCTATATTGTATTGCGATCCATCACGTCTCCAAAACGTATGGCAGCGATTGAGGTTCTGGCGGAAGACGAGCATGGGGATGTCATACCATTGCAATTGTACCAGCAGGAAGATGAAGCAACCCGCCCAGCCACAGACATTATCCATGAGAACTCGGTTGTCCTCATCAAGGAGCCGTTCTTCAAGTTCACGGCACGTGGAGATTACAGTCTGCGAGTGGACCACCTTTCCGATGTAGTGTTCCTCTCAGACAGCGACATCATAGTACCTCAATTATTTCAACGACCGCAGGTCAAAACAGCAGACACGTTGAGATTCGAGGGAGATATCCTTATAGGCGATGGAAAGAACTGGCAGGCGATTGATAAGTGAGTATTGCAGGCAGCGAGCGAGTCAGTACGCTAACATACAGGTTAGGTATTCAGCTGCCTTGCTGCAATCACCTACACCCGACGAGATCAAGGTGATGAAGCGAAATCGATCGTTAGCCTACCTCAGAACCAGGCAATATGAAGCGGCGCTCTCGGATATCGGAAATTACAATGAAGAAGTATCAGACGAGGCTTTGCTTCGTGCCTCAGAAGCACTTTACTACCTGGCCCGTTATCAAGAGTGCTGCAACGTGCTAGAAAGGCTCTGCGAACTGTTTCCGAACAGAGAAGACGCCGTTCGTGCGCTTGCTCGTGCTCGGCGCCGATGCGACGAGCATGCTAGTGGACAGTTCGACTTCAAACACCTCCAAGACCAAGCAACAGAAGTCCGACCGCCGCATCTAGATCACGCTTCGTACACTAAGCCAGTAGAGATTCGCACGGTAGAAGGCAAAGGTCGCGGTCTATTCACAACCCAGTCTCTCAAGGTCGGCGATTTGGTGCTGTGTGAGAAGGCCTTCAGCCACGCTCATCTTGATGAGGGCGAGAGAGGCAACGCAAGCTTCACTCGCTTAGTCAATCTCGAGAGGAACTCGGACATCACAGGCGTCAAGGCCGACCTTATTCGCATGATCGCGCAGAAGCTGTACAAGAACCCTTGTCTGGCCCCTGGTTTCACCGAATTGTATCATGGCGACTATCAAGCGGTCGATACACAGCGCATGGATGGTCGACCGGTAGTGGACACGTAAGTACCGCCCCATCACTCAAGTTAATTGACGTGGCAGACTAACACCATCCTCCTTCAGCTTCCTCATCGAACGAATCACGGCTCTCAACAACTTCGGCTGTGCTCTCACGAGTCTGAACATATACAAAGACCGACTGGCACAGAGGAGCACGCCAAAAGAGAAACTCCATGACTGTGGCATCTGGATCACAGCCTCATACATCAACCACAGCTGTTTGGGCAACGTCTGTCGAACATTCATTGGAGACATGATCATCATACGCGCGACCAAGGACTTGGATGCGGGCACAGAAGTCACATTCCCGTATGTTTTTCCGGAAGGGAAATACAATTCGAAAATGGTCGAAGAGCTAGATCATTGGGGCTTCACCTGCAAGTGCCCGCTCTGCGAAGATATCAAAACCACCGAATCTGCGGACCTCACGAAGAGGCAGGACTTGTTGAACCAACTAAAAAAACTCTTTAAATCTCCGGTGACAGGAATCCAGTATACGAACGAGGTCGAACGCTTAGCCGAGGCGCTCAACGAGACGTACGCTTGTCCGGCGGAAGAAGTGCCTAGGCTCATGTTGTGGAGTCCGTACCACGTACTGACACGGATCTACATGGCGCGCCTCGTTGAAGCCAAATTGAAGCGCCTCTTTATTGGCAAAGCATTGGGGGCCATGGGTAAGTCTCTTCAAGCTATGGGCTTCCACTTGACCGGGCTTGACCGCACGTCTGCGCCTTTGATGATCACACGATGGGGTCATGTGGAAGATCGTCTGGTAGAAGTCTTCCTGCATGCGCGATCAGTGTTTGAGCAGTTGGGGTTGTTGACCAAGATGGAACAAGCGGATCGATATGCGCGTACAGTGTATCGAGTAGTGGTGGGGGAAGATGCGTCATTCGATGAGACGCACCCTAGGTCTTCTTAGGTCTTCGGATGAGCGGTTTACATGGGCCGTAGGCTACGAGACATGGCAATTGAGCCCATAACACACTTCTCCTTCACTCCATGTACCAAGCATGCATGCACCAAGCATGAATGGAGTCACTCTCATAAGGCACGGCAGCTTGCAGCAAACGCCTAAGCACAATCATCTCGTCTAAGCGCTTGTCGAGCACCACGTGTTGCTATATGAACATGACCATGACCGCGTGCCTGCTGGATTATTTGATCGATCTCAACCCTTACAGTCGAGACAGGCAGCATCCATCGCTCCAACCAGTCAGAATGGGTAACTGTCTATCTCGCTTTACGAAACACAAGACAACATCCAGACTCCTAGCTCTCTCACGCGAACTCCGAAACAACATCTACGCCCACATCCCCCGTGATCTGACCATCAAATGGCTCTGGAACACCCAGGGCACCACCAGCCCCAGCGACTCAATCTACGACGTCATCCAGATAACCTTCCACAACGCGCCTGAGCACGGCATCCTTGCAACATGTACCTGTCTTCGCGAAGAGATGCTAGAGCAAGACCAACTGCACAACGAAGAGCTATCTGTCTCCATCACCATGCTGACCCGAGTAACAAGACCAAGGTCCACAGAAGAAGTAGAAGAAGCGCAGCAGAAGCAACAAGACGCCACCCGCGCACGCATCAAAACCGCGTTCCGCAACGTCCTCCACGCTACCATCTGCATACGCGACATGACCAGCATCCCGCCCTGGGGCCCAAGCAGCACGATGAGGCTACTCCGGTGGTCTATAGGTAACATGCACAGGATACAAACACTTCGCCTTGCGCTGTGCCATTCCACTATCGTTCGGGTTGAGAAGCTCACCCGGGAGATCTTACCGCGCAACCCACGAATTCAAGAGTCCCCGATTATCTTTGTGGATCCGGTGGCGTTGTTGCAACGGGCTTGCGGGCTGCGCATTGGGTGTCATTCTATGGAGGCGGCGCCTGAATGGTCACAGAATCCTTTCAGGAGGGTTATACGACATGATCTTGATCAGGTGTATGTGTACATGTATGCTCGGTCGGGGGTTGGTAGCGAACGCCTTCCGTACTGGACGGTGGAGGATATTGTGGAGTATTTCCCTGTTGCAGAGTATGACGAAGCACTGCTGCGGGATGTGAGCGGAGAAACGGCCGATCGTGTACGAGGGTATCTATCGCAGGTGGTTAATTGGTTTGAGCAGCGCAGATCAACGGGAAGTGAGGATTGGGTCATAGTGTAGAGGTGTTCCACGTCACGCAATGCCCACCGATTGCGGAAATACAACAGAATATCATTCAGGTCCAATCCGTCGGGTAAGACCCCGCCAGTTCAAAAACACCAGTCCAGTCCCAACATAGGTATAGTATCAGAAAATCCTCGTCCAAACTCTTCATCGCCTTACAACCCCTCCCTGAACACACTCCTCCGACTCTCCGTCGGGCTGTTCTCCACACTATCCACACTACCCGCCTTCCTGTGCTTGCTCACGCTCGGCATGGTAGCCGTAGCACCACCCCGATAGCTTGTATCCGCATCGAGCACCGGCCTGGGACTGACACCCCTCAGACTCGCCGCATTGTCGTCGCCAAACGGATTCCTCCCACTCTGCGCATCGAGATGTTCATCGTAGGAATCGCGTGTGCGGCTGCGTCCGCGACTCGGCTCGACATTGTTATACGGCGTAGGATTGGCATAAGGATTCGCAGTCTGCCCACCATGGGTAGACGCCGGTTCATGAAGCCCAAGTTCCTGCTCTTCATAGTATGCCTCGTCGCCCACGCGCGAACTCCACGCCTCATCAGGATCAAGACGACTTCCCGCGCCGCGGCCACCGCCGACGCCGCGCCCGCCGCTGTAGCCGGCGTCTTCGTAGCCGCTACCCGTTGTGTACCGGTTATTTCTGTTCTTGAACTTGCGCACTTGGGTGTCGAACCAGCCTTTGATGCCGGTGGGCGCGGGACCCGGGTAGTTTGAGGTTGCGCCGGCGTCAGAGGAGCGGCTGAAGGCTACCATTGGGTTCATGGAGGGTGGAGGTAGGCCATTGCGGGAGGCGTTCCATCGGGCGTAGAAGTACCAGCCGAAGTAGGAGAAGGAGAGGAGGAGGAGCAGGATGATGATGAAAACTAGCCAGCCGTTCATGGTGGCGGTGGTCGTGTGGGTTGTTGTGGGGAGGGCTTAGGGTCGCATGTGCGGTTTGCGTGTGGTGGGCGCGATTGCGCGGATCCGATGGGTTTGCTGTCGCTGAGGCAGGAGGCGATGGGCCTGATGGTGTCCCGACAGGCGTGGAATGCGACGTCGGCTGGCTGCGCCGCAATGTCAATTTGTTGGTGTAGCTGGCAGGCGCGGCTGAGTTCCTCCAGCCCAGGCGGCTGCGTAGTATCGCCAAGTGATGACGTAACCCTTGCTGACGCCGCTGCCCGAATCTAACAACTGTTAAATTTGACGGAGAAATCCTTTGCGATGTTAACAATGACAGGAAGTAATGGCGAACCCCTATCATTAAAATCTGTTCCGACAGAAAAGTTTCAGATTGATGCGTGCTTTTCGTCTCACGACGAGGCCGTTATTGAACATGACGCACGCGGACTAGCGCCTACCGCAACGAAAAATGGGGCAGGTGGGATTGCGCGATTGGGCAGCCAGCCTATCACGCCTATCTCCATGGTGTGGGTGACATTGCATGTGGCAGGAACCGGACGTTCATCGCTCGGTTCGACTTCTGGCCGTCTATGAACTGATCATCATCTTACTCATTTGCGATCGCACTACAGTGAAAAGTCCGCCCGAGTCATTGTCTACACTAGGCTGCCGTCATGAACAGATCTGGCGGGGACGATCAGCATCGCAAGATCGTGTTCACGACTCAAAGCGTCCATGGCGAGTCAGAGGCTGTTGTTACGTTACAAGAGCACAAAGATCCCACGAGACCGCCTTGGTTAATCAACGTGTCAACACGACCTCGCGATAAACAACTGCCGTTCACCCCACCAGAAAAGCGCGAAACCCATGTTATCATCTCGAGTGGTTCCGGTCATGGACTCGCAGATGAGTTCTTCTCCAGCGCTGTTCGCCCGATCCTCAAAAGCATATACGGAAACAAAGGCGTCGAAGAGTTGAAAGTACACACCACTGAATCGCCAACCAGCGTCTTGGAACTCACCGATGCCGTTCTCTTTCCAGCCGCCAATGAAGGAAGACCAATCCGCATCATCCTCCTCTCAGGCGACGGCGGCATCGTAGACCTCGTAAACGGCCTCTCATCCAAAACACCAAACCCACAGACCTACATCCCCCCACAAGTCGTAATCCTGCCTCTCGGCACAGCAAACGCGCTCTACCACTCCATCAACGCGGGAGGATACGACGCGTGGGGTCTCCCGGCCCTAACATCATGGAACACAAAACCCCTTCCCACATTCACAGCGACCTTCTCCCCCGGCGCCCGCCTCCTCGTCGACGAAGGCCGCCAAGAGCAAGAACTACCCAAAGATCCGCAGGGCAACGGCATTCTCCACGGCGCCGTCGTAGCCTCCTGGGGCATGCACGCTTCCCTCGTCGGCGACAGCGACACAACCGAGTACCGCAGACACGGCGTCGAGCGCTTCAAGATGGCCGCAAAAGAAGCTTTGTATCCCGCTGACGGATCTGCGCCACATCCGTACAAAGGCAAAGTCTCTATCCTCCAAGGAAAGGATCGCTGGACCGCTCTACCGGAAGAAGAGCACATGTACATCCTCGCAACCATGGTCTCGCACCTCGAAAAGCCGTTCTGCATCTCCCCTGCTACTAAACCGCTAGACGGGAGTATGCACCTTGTTCATTTCACCCCGAGGAGCGGCGATGAGGTCATGGGTATTATGAACAAAGCGTATGATGGGGGTAAACATGTGGAGGATGGGGATGTGAGGTATGAGAGTATTGATGGGTTGAGGATTGAGTTCGAGGGGAAGGAGGAGGACGGGAGGTGGAGGAGGGTATGTGTTGATGGGAAGATTGTAAGGTTGGAGAGGGATGGGTGGGTTGAGGTTAGGAGGGTGGAGGAGGGGGGTGGCAAGGGGGTTTTGGATGTTGTTGTGTTAGGGCAGTGAGACGGATTAGGAGAGGGTGTTTATGATCTGTGCGCGCAAACATGGGCTAGAAATGAATGAACGAACTGATGATTGATCTATATTTCCAGGGCTCAAAAATATCTAGAGTCGCGCCCTTTTTAGTCACTGGTCTACTCCTCGGAGTGCACGTGAGCACTAATTCCAACTCAAAGTACACTCGAAATCGTATAGGAACCTCTCATGCTGAATATCTAACACCCGGTTTTAGCGATGCTCATCGAACGCGACTGCGGCCGCAGAGCAATTTGGTCCCCCCGCCGTCTCCCCTTCACTGGGCCCCCCGTTAAGAAAACAGCCGAGTTCGAAACTCTGGTCGTTCCTCACTTTTTTTTGCACTTGTTATTGGCTTCTGGGGGTTGACCAAACGTTATGGTGCTGTCGCCCCGCCCCGCCTCTTCACTCACGTCGCTCTTCTTGCCTTGCTGCGCGCCGACGTCCTTCGGCTTCTACTTGTGTTATCCACTCTTGTGGGAGATTCAGTGTGCTCTTGACGAAACTTTCTTGCTCTCTCTCTGTCAACATGCGCCTGCTGACATGGAGGAAGTGCGCCTTGAATGCATGCCATAATTCTGTATCAGCATCTGTATGGCCGTATGCAAAAGGTCGAGGGAAGTACGGATCGTTGCGCCAGAACGCATGGACTGCTTGCGCGATACCAGTTGCGTCTTGAGCCATAGGACGTACGCAGTCGTAGTCTAGCATCCAGATGACGAGGTCTTCACCCAGCAGCTTGAACATTTGTGTTGGCGTGTCGCCGCTGATAGATGATGTAGCCGGGGCAAGCACAAACTCAACATCATTCGCATCGACTTCAGCCTTCCAGTAACAATGCGCGAGCGCCTCAGCCAGAGTCTTCGCGATGACAACAGCATTCATACCCAGCTCTTCCATCTGATCGACGCAGAGACCGTAGTTGCGCAGGTTGAAGAACATGCCAGGCGGGCGTCCTTCTGGTCTCCGTTTGCCCGTGTACACTCGAATGAGGCAATCTTCATTCTTCTTGCTCTTCCTCGTAGCATCCTTCAACGCCTCACGGCAATACTTGTCGATGAGCATTTCGCGAATAGGCAGTCCTACAGCGGGTATCCTCTCCTGCGTATAACTCCTACTCACCTCTTCCCCCGGAGGAAAGCAAGTGAAATTGTTATCCCACCAGAAACTATCAGCCTCCAAGACCTCGTAAGATTTCGGTATGCGCACAGGTAGCGTGTGTGTTTCGTCTGCTGCGATAACTCGTCGATGCATGTTGTGGTCGTTCAAGACGGAGCGGTTTGTATGCATGTGTTCGCGTTTGATGACCCAGGGGTCGACTCCGCGGATCCAGATGCTGCCGCAGCATCCTCGGCCTATTTCGCGGAAGGGGCCTCTAGGGTTAGGGCGTGTGTTCATGTTTGTGGGTGTGTAGTTGAACTGTGAAGGTGTGTGGTTGAGTTGTGAAGTTGCGTGGATGGTGGAATATATACTCGCCTTTGACTCACATAGACGTCGTGTGGGCGTACCCCGCAACATTGGAGTTCGATAGCCATCCCATGGTTCACGATGGGTTGTAGACGAATTACGAGCCACGTGGTACCAATCCTCGGGAGAAAGCTGGTACGATTACTACGTCTTGTCCACAGCGAGCTTTGGTGAGCTCAGTGTCGCGTGACAGTCCTTGCGCATAGGCGAGCATGTCGTCGATGAAGCGTCGTGTTGTTGTGGTTCGTCCTACGTGAGGCGCACGGCATGACCCACGGTCGAGGTTGCGATAGCTCCTGCCTTCTAGCCAAACAAGCGTCAGGGTCTTCAGGGTCTCGACAGAGGCAGGAACAAAACTCTGCAATTCGCTTCGAGATGTTTCACCTCCCACGCTCACCATCTTCGTTCTCACCCACTCGCATTGTTTCCATCTTCTTTTTTGTAGCCAGATCGTTCGAGTGGACACCTCAGAACGTCTCGAATGGCACCAGAACACGCTCCCTTGGTTTACTGGCAAAATGGTACCAGTCGCATTCATGCACCATTCTGCTTTCATCGACCCTTTGTTGCATGTCGATAAGGGATCTGTTCTTAGCTGCTACAAGTACGACCGAACAGGCTACCACGATCGTCAAAAGGAAGTACACTCTTGACTCTTTATCAATGCGAGCACCTGCGCTTTCACGAGAACGACAACCCGCGACTGTTGAACCCTTGGCTACACTCCCATACTTGCCGGCATCCAGGGGCTCTGCGGGGTCGAGGAGATTTGATGCCTCAGGTCTTGTTGTTTCCGAAACATGATTATGCCGTCACGTCGAGGATCTCAATCTAAGCCATCGCAACTTCGAAGGGTCCATCGCCGCCGCGAACGTGGCATCGAACTAGAGGAACGACAATAGGATCATTTGTCCTAGGCTCAGCCACTTGAATGCCAGTCGTCGCGTCCGCCGAGGAGCACAACTTGGCGCAGTCACGCTACGCCTTCGGATGGCCACGATTCCGGCGTTAGGCAAAAGCAAAGAAAGGCACGAAGGACACCAGCACTGGCGTCGCGGCATGTGTCGAGCTTTGGCTTGGTGATTCGAAGCCATGTACGGCTTGCGACGGTGAGAAGCTGATGAAGTTCAGATTTCCTGCCCCCACCAGCACCTGCATGGAGCTGACAGTTGCCGGCGACCAAGCTGCAAGCCTATAATTAGGCTGATCCACAGCGGGCGCCAACCGCCCTACAGGGCCGCAATGATGAAAGCGATCGAAAGCAGACCGCATTGTCAAGCAAACCGCGCTCGCAAGTCATTGATCGCATCAACAGCGGCAGGGTAGCAGAAAAAGAAGATTACTCGTGCATCTTGGGTGTTTCTGACATCACATGCACGTGCATGACGCGTTTCGTCACGGCGATCTTGGGCTGACGACCCGGCCACGGCTCAGCGCCTGCAAACCTACTTACACAAGCAGGGGTACCGTCAGCAACGTCCTTATTACTACCCACCTTTGCCGTCGTGGCGCAGCCTCTTCTCTCAAATCGCATCCTCGAGCAATTGACGCAGAAACCTCACACTCACATCGGCCCTACTCGACACTGATCGCCCGCCATGAATATGATGCGCAAGAAGACGCAGTATGTGCAAATCACACCAATACCGTCGTTCATACCGCGCCAGCTCGCAATCGACTTCCTCCACAGTCACGGCGAGATCATCGAGCTGAACCCCCTCGTCACCGGCCACGAGCCCATCAAAGCACCGCGCGACGCTCCCGCAGACGAATACTACTCAACATGGTACGAAATATCGCAGCGCATACAGTACATACCCGGCATTGGCAAGATGGGGAGCGGCGCAATCAAGTTCCGCGGTGTCTTCCACGACCTGCCGTTCGGGCTTCAGACACACACGTACGCGCCTGCGAATGTCGACCTGCGCCAGAAGTGGCACATTGGCGGCAACCAGATTGGCGAGCCACCTGAGCCGAAAGAGCTGGGCTCTTCTGCGCCACCGGAGGGCCTCTACATCCGTCAGGATGTAGAGATCAAATGCAATGTCGCCATGATGAACTTTGTCAAAAAGGAAATGAAGGCAGCTTGCACGATCATGATCGAGCGGTTGGTCAAGAAGGCGGAGCTGCTCGACTCGGGCGCACTCCAGGCGATGATGGAGAATGGGCGCATGAAGACGGTCAACCCAGCTGATCGCTCTACTTACGGTCACACGCCACCACAACCATCGCCGACCCAACCCTACCAGATGCCCATGTCACCGCACAGGCAAAGCCAACAATGGGCGCAGCCCGCACAGCAGCCCGGCCCTCCCGTCCCACCGAAGCAGCTTCTGGGCACGAACGACGTTGTAATGGAACTACCAGGCGACTTCTACCACCCTCAGCCGTCCCCATCCCACCTCTCACCTCACGATAACCGCGCGTCCTCTGCCTCCGAGCCATCGCAATACTCGCCAAACCCGCAAGATGCACGCTGGTCGACCGCATCGCATAGCACCGCAAGCTCACGCCCCAGCTCCTATGCGCCGTCAGAGGGCATGAAATCGCCAGGGCTAGAACAAAAGACATTCGCTGCCGAATTGCCGACCATGGAGGAGACAAGGGAAGAGCACAACAGCCATCAAAGGCGGCCAAGTGGCCAGCAGGGCCAACAGGCATATGCATACAACCCACAGGACTATGCGCGGGCGCCCGGGCAACAGCAGTATGCTAACCCGCCCTACCCGGTGTATGGGCCTCGGTAATTGACGAATTCACACTTTGGTGTTTTTTGGACGTACACGCACAGTAATGTTTTTGAGAGTAAGGTGCCAGTAAGGAAGGGCGGCTGTTTGTCTACCTCTTTATCACGATTTACGACTTTCTGCGGAATGCTTTTCAGATATCCCCTTCCGTTAAGTAATGCAATCATATTTTTTTCATGTCCACAGGCTTGTCATCAAGGATTAAGTGCCCAGTGCTATGTAGCGTCTCGGTATCCAGGGTGTCAATTCGCGACCAGACACGAATCGCCAGAACGCCCTAGATATAGATCGGTGCTAAACGCATCCGCCATCTCCTCGCCATTTTTATTACTTTACTATATTTGCGTTGGGGTTGGAATGGTTATTTGACTGAGGTGTACAAACTCTTGATTGAGATGTTGAATGATCTTTCAACACAGTTCATACTCGGCGGACAGTGCGTGGTGTCATGTGGATATTGCCACAATTACATGATCAACTAGATTCCGTATCCATGGCGCTCTCACATCCTCTCCCTGGCGTCCCCACACACTTAGAGATACGCTTAGGATGACCAAGAATCCGAGTTCATCCGTGACACCCGCTGGCTTCCTTATGTTGACTTACCCCCCACACTCCTCGAACTGCAGCTGTTTTGATGTAGATGCCGTTTAATATAAATGACACTAGAATCCGACTTTACGTCAAGTACCTTCCAACGACATCGCTATCTACTCTGCCGACTCCCTCATAACGATTACGAGCTATTATCAAAGGAGTGACAAGTAACCGGGAAGGTGCTGCGACAAGCAACGGTGACTAATATCCAAAGACGGAATACATCGTAGACTCCCGTTCGTCTGTTAAAAAGGCAGAGAACGACTGAGATAGCAGCGTAGATCGCAAGATAGGGTTTAACGTCTCTGTTTCTCTACAGTATGTTTCAATACGTAGCTTGCGTAAAGCTTAGGTCCGATAACACAAGTACCTGCCTTATGCCATAAGGTCGATCGTGTCACCCCCAGCGCTCCGCAGTACATATCCACATCAACTGGCCTCGACAGCAGCAAAGGATAGCTTGTATGTATGTGATACAAAAACCATAATATAATCAGCCTGACGTCACAACATAACAACAGACCCTCGCTACTACGCTGCGTGCCTACGCCCATGGCCCGTGCGTCAATACACGGTCACGTAGACTTGCTACTGCCCACCTGACAGAAGCTCCACTTCATCCACAATAAACCCAGCTTGATACCTCTGCATTGATCTTGGCTAACCTGCAGTAACCATCTACACTGACTCTCGCAGACATGTCACGGCAACCAAACATGCGAGACCGGCCAGCACTGCCAGGTCCGTACGGTCCACACAACCCTCCACCGCCTCCGTCCGAGCCCCCACCGAGGGGACCTAGAGAACACGAAGCCCGGGGTAGAGGTGTTGACGATGTCGATGGCGAGAGGATGCAAGGTCGACGCCGTCCGCAGCTCGCTGTACGGAAACGAGATTACGCACGGGCGGAAGAAGAACTGCGAGTGAGACAGCGAGATCGAGATCGTAGTCGTTCGCCTGCCCGGCGTCAAGATCCGCGAGATGAGCAAGATTGGCGTGGTGAGCGAGCCCGGTATCGAGAGCGGTCGCCGCTGCGTCGTGACGTCGTGGACATGGAGCCGCAGCGAGAGGACCGGAAGCCAGAGAAGGCGGAGTATCAGCGGTGCTTTGCTTGTAACAAGAAAGGTTGGTTGTATACCTGCAGATTCCCAACTCTTCTTTGCTAAGACTATTAAGGGCATAGGGTTGCAGATTGCCCAGCCGCCTTCACTGATAAGAAGGGTTGTTTTCGGTGTGGAGAGCAGGGACATATTGCTCGGGCTTGCAAGGTTCGAGTTGGCCAGATCAAGACTGATGCTAAGGTGGCTGCGGATGAGGCGAAGGCTATGGCTGGCCGATACGGTGACCGCAATGACGATAGGCATCGGTCGCCCAGGCAGGATGCTGCCTTCCGAATAAGTCGCGCGAGAGATACCAGCCGACTGGAAGCTCACATCCAGCAAGCGTACGGCCAAGATCAAGATGCGCAGCAACATCATCAGGAGCACTTCCGTGAGGCGCCTTCGCGTTCAGAGTACTTTGTCGAGGACGAAGTGGACTGGGACGACGACGCTTTAGAGACGGCCCACGTTGCTCCTGCGGTGAGGATGAGTACCGGTCGGAAGATGCCACAGCCTGAGTATCCGAGGTATGAGGAGCCGTACCGCCATCAGCAAGTCCCGGAATCCACTTCTACAACCTCTCAACATGCGCCAGTTCAGTCCACGCACCGCAGACCCAGCCAAACGCCGAGCACAGCAAAGTCGGCCAAAGAGCCCAAGTTGGGCCTACCGCACCTCCAGAACGCAGAGACAGATGAGTTCCCGCTGACAGTGCACGACCTTCGCGGCTACGACTATCGCATCTTCGCCACGTATGCCGCCAAACCCAAGGCCCAGCGCTTCATCAACGGCGCCAACGGCAAGATCGCACCGGGAATGTACGGTTCCGAGCAGCGCCACGACCTGGGGCTTTGCTTCACCACGTACCTTACGAAGAAACGCTGTGAGATGGGTGTCAAGTGTCCCTGGCGCCATCATCCGCTTTCGAATACTGAGAAGGCTTGGATCATCAAGTATGGCAAACAGAAGGGAGAGGAGTTCATCGAAAACGTGGATCGGTGGTGGAATTTCCCCGAGGCAAGTCGTATCATGCCGTGCTGCTTTTGGGCTTCGCTGACTGTGATAAGACACCGGTGCCGGGTACTTCCATGGAGGGCCTAGGTGACGATAAGAACTAGGTAGCTTTCCTGATTTGAAGTTGTTGGACACCGGGAGCTTGGAATGGATAGGCCCTTGCGCAACGATTGGACGACTGTGAGATGAGTCAGTCCAGGCGCGCTGACCCTGGTTGGAGTAGGCTATGTGAGAGCCCCGCCTCGTGTATGATACCAGCCCCGTATGTCATCGATGCCTTGAAGACCAATGAGCATCATGTTAGCGAACGTATCAAGGTCATCCGGCTGCGCACCCCTCAAGACATCCGTGAAGTCCAGCTCCTTGATAACAAAGTGACTCTTGCTATTCCATGCCATGGCAAAGTCAAAAGCGCTCGTTGCTTTCCACAAATGCGCAGAAAGCGTGACGCGGTTCTTCAAAGAAAGCTCTTTCGCGCAAGACCTCATCTGCCCGCTCAGCAGAGTGTATATGACGGTTATGTGGAAAGCTACCAAGGCCGTGCGTCTGGCTGACTCACGGAGGATGTACGACTGCCAGGCTGAGCGAGCGGCTGTACTGGGATATAGTGGAAGGGTGGCGGGAAGCTCGGGATCCTCTGCTGCGATGGGTAGGAGGACAACACCCACATCTTCCAGATGCGGTATCAGGGCGTCGGATCGGGCGTAGAGTCGTATGTCACCGCCAAAGATGAGCATGATCTCATACAACATCAGAGCCTGTGTACGAGCTAGAACCTCGATGGGCGTAGTCGGTATAGAAGTGGCTATGAGCTCTTCTGCGCGACTTGTGATGAATCGTGCCACGTGCTCGGCATTGTTGTCGTTCATGGTAACGTAAAGGGCACATGCCGCGTGTGCGTCTTGTAATGATCGTGGCATATGGTCTTCGTAAAGCAAAAGGTGAGCCCATGGTGTGCAACATTGCTCTACCATCATCTTTGGCGCTAGTTTGACGAGCTCGATTGAGTACTCCACTCTGGACTTTGCGAAAGGCGATAGGTGTCTTGCTGAGAAGGGCTGGTTCACTGGGGGATAAGACTTTTGTAAAGTCATCTGATCTTCTTGATGAGCTGGCGTGTTGAGCATGTCCGTAAGTGCGTCGAGAGACTCTGTTGCGGTGCAGAAGTCGAAGTCTAAGATATCTGCGGTGGGGTTGGCTGGCATGCCAGGTAGATCGAAGTCGAAAGCAACACAGCCATCGTCAATCTCTGGCATCTCTGTTGGCGCATTGGATGAGCTCAAGTCAATAGGTGTTGCAGATGAGTCGTTTTGCGGAATCGCGGCCTGCGACCGAGGCTGTGGAGGGTAGATGCATGGCAAGTGCTGTCTAGCGCATCGTGCGCAATGAGGCTGCTCGAGACCGCACTTCCGCTTTGCCTTTGCGCACTCTGAGCATGACTTCTGCCTACCTTGTGAGTTGGTGGTGCGTGAACGATCTGGTGGCATTTCGAATGTGTCTGTTGCTGGCGAGGAAGGAGGTGAGGCTTGCCGCGCGGCCGCCGATCTTGGCCTGCATCATCGTTAGTCAGCGCTAGTGGGTCGCTCCATCCCAGCTCGGACGACTCCTTAATTACTCACGACTGCACTCTGTTCCGATCAACGAAGGCATGAGCTAATCTACATCTTCAAAGTTAATACACAGCGCTTCACTGGGATCAATCGACTGTCATCTTCTACTTTTCAACATGCCAACTGACGTTCGCTCTCGCACCCCGCCGTGCCCGCTGCCATGGCCATGTACTCTTCGCACAACTACTCTTTGCTAACGAGATCATGGTTACTTCAATTCTTCACGGAGCTGATGCGATAGTGTGCTGCACCGGGAGGCTTGTTCAAGCCGTATAATCGTTCTGCATGGGGACCCCCAAAGCCGCACGATCTTTTTAACGGCGACCCCTCCCTACAAGTGACAATTGGACCTGCTGAAACAGCTCTGCACAACGACATCCAATTACCGGCGCCCATAGAAGCGAAACCCTTCCACCTGGTTCGGTTTGCCTTTGCAGGCTAGTCTTTCTTCAGCGTCTCGGTCCCGCGTCCCCGCTGCCAACTTTTGAAACGGTATACCACGTATGCCGCCGCGCACATCGAATAGAAGACCGCAGCATACGCGGCTTGCTTTCCGATCTTAATGGCGCTCGTCGGTACGGTGATGTACAGAGGTACCAGAGCTTGCTGTGACCGGCCCATCCAGCGCTTCCAAACTCGCTCGACTACGATCACCAACGCTGCTGTTATGCCCCAAAGACCCCCGAAGATGACCGGCGCACCGTACCCGCCCATCATAGCGCTTGTAAAAGTGGCGAAGACAGAACCTGCAACCACATTGCCGATACCCGCTTGCATGGCGGCTGCTGCACTACCTATGACAAAGTCAGTACTCTCATTCCACGGCGAACCAGTGGATCTGACCTACCAGCGACTATGCCACCCGCTCCAAAGCCTATGCCCGATAATATCATGGCTGCGAGCGCAAGCAGTACGAGCGGAACGACGACTAGGGCGAAGTCCCAAGGATGCTGCCTGATCCACTCGCGAGCTGCTTCCGCCACACCCTTGACTCCGAGTTGCTTGACCCTTTCGATTGCACTGGCTACAGCATCTCTTGCTTGCATGGCGCATAGGGCGACCTTGTCCATGACGTGTTTGTACATGGCCTTGATGAACGTGTTCGCGCGTCCGAGTGTAGCGCTGCCATTGCCAGAAGTATTCGCGTTGCTGTCTGGCGTAGCATTTGCAGAAGTCTTGTCTTGTTCACCCTCGTTGGCCTTGTCCTCCGGGCTATCGTCTGCATCGCTGCCGACGTCCTGTTCTCGCTCGTGGGTTGTATCCGATGTCTCAGGCTCCTGGTCTGAAGTAGTATTTTCAGCGGGGAGAGGGAAGCGGTCGCGCAACCATCTGGGTATCCAAGAACGATCTGCCATGTTGTATGAGTGGGCTGTGGTGTTGGTGTTGAGGGGGCGTGCGGCGTCAGGTCTTCGAAATTTCCCTTTGCACCCGGGGGAACTTGGCGGTGAACGCGCGAGACATCTCACCGCGATACCAGACGGGGAAATAGCCAGAACGTTCACGCATCACTTTGCATGCCGTAAGGAGAAACAAGTCCTTTTATGCCAATTATCATGCAGGCACGTTGATGACATAACTCATAGGTACTTCGCGGATGCTAACCACAATACACCAACTTCGAGCACAATCACCATCCCCTTACTGATCCATAGGTAGACGGCCTGTCTCTTCGGCGATGAGCTTGTCGACCTCATCCTGGATGAAAGCACGATGTATCGCTCTGGCCTTCTCCAACTCGCGCATCAACCTATCTCGCTCCCACAAAGTCCAAGCCGCCAGATCGGAGCATGTCTTTTCCGCCTTCGCGCGAGCCTTATTTGCCGTTTCCAGCTCCTGCCTCAATCTCGTATTCTGCTCCAAGATAAGCTCAAACGCCTCCTTGGTGATGCGTTCGCAACCGGGTGCGGGAGTTGAAGAATCTGGTTGGAACATAGAGGATGTAGCGGGACATTGTGGGACAGGGAAAGTCTCGGCGGTTAAGTATGGATCGTTGCTGGCGCTGCTGATCGAATTCAACCAGTCGTTCACTTGATTCACACCATCCGCGTGATGTGCGGGACGGAATGCGAGACTGATGGTGCGTTCGTGACCCTGGAGGCTCGCATGATCCGAGAAGATGGCTTGGATGTGGTGCTGCTATATTTTGGTCAGTGTTGTTGTGGTACGACGAGGTATCAGTGAAAGACTTACATGGACAGCAGCCTCCTCCCCCTCGTCCTCCATTCTATCGGTATCAACACGATTTGGCTCCATGCCTACGCATTGGCGTGCTCCAAGATGGTTGCGGTGTCTTTAGGGGCTCGGATAACGCGACTACGTCAGAAAAGGCGCAGTGAAGACGGAGACGCGTCGGTGACTGCGGACTACACTCACGTGCTTGCTGAGTGAGCGCCTGCGCTAGTGTCTACTAGCGCAACTCTCAGTATATTCCAGCCCCGCCTCCCTCTCCCACCTTTCCTCTCGCTACCTGTGTTGACTTGATCCGACTCCACGCGTAAAGCATCAGCTTACCGCACGAGCTGACGAGGACTCCACGGCCGACTGGGAGAGGGCAGATTCGAAACTAAGCTCTTCACGATCGGGAATCTAGACGTCGCAAGCCTCCATCCGGTGAGCTGTGGCTATAGGTGTCTCAATCTAGAAGTGCGAGGGGATCCCGCCGCGAACCAAACAAACAAGCCTTTGCGTGAACGACTTCGCGTCCTGTGTTGTAACTCAAGGCATCCACGGCCCACTAACATCCTCCCATCAGTACGTTATATCTCCCCACCTTATCCATGTCGTGAATTGCATGTGTTGATATTACCTTGTAGCTCTTCTCGTTGTCATGTCGCTCAGCAGTCTTAGAGGCCGCCCGCCCACGCAGTTCCTACCCCCGGCTGGTGCCTACTACGACCAATTCGACATCATCGCGATATTTGGCCCGGACGTACCGAGAGAGGGTCTTTGTAGTCACTGTCTACAGCCTGAGTGCGGGTCTTCTGAAGATCCTACCGGATGCGCGAACGCGTGTGGCATGTGCGGATGTAAGGACCAGCACGCGAAGGGGGTAAGTCGTCCTTACTGCCATAGAGATCTCATCACTAACTCGTTCCAGCTTTGCGCTATGGCCTACTGCTCGTACAGGTGGCGCAAAGATCACGGATGTACTCCAGACCTAGGTGGTGGCGCCTAGTTAAGGGGAACCCTAAGAGACAAATCAACACTTATTTAATAGTTTTAATTAACTAATAATACTATTACTAACATTCTTTTACTTATTTCTAATATAATATATACTATTTACTCTTTCTTGCGCCTATACTTATAACCTAGGTTATACTATAAACTTAATATAGTACTAGCGCTAACTAAGCTCTATTTTTATCTTTAAACATTTTCTTTATAAAGTTTATATTTTTTTTATTTATAATTATCTTTATACTATATTTCTTAAAGAATATAGTAAGAGCTTATACCTACTATTTAATAACCTCTTTTAATACTTTATAGTTACTATTATTAAAGTAGATAGCTTATTTAAGAATATACTAGCTAAATTATAAGATAAAGTAAGCTTTCTTAATATTAACTTAAGCTATAGTTCTATTATTAGTAACTTATACTTTAACTTTATAGTTAAAAAAATTTTCTAAACTACTTTAGATAAGATTATAGCTATAAAGCTTTTTTACTTTTTTTTAAAGCTATATAAATAGTTATATATTACTAAGAAGAAGAGCTAAAGTAGAAGTTATAAGTAATTAGTTAGAGTTACTAAGAAATTACTTTAAAATAAAAATTTACTAGTAGCTATTAAAGTATATTAATATAATAATTTATTTAGTTAGTAATATATATTAAGAAAAGAAAAGTACTTACTATTAAAATAAAAGAAGTAAGTAATAGAGAATAAAAGAATACTTTAATAGTAGTTTTATTACGCCTAGTATATATAGTACTAAAGTATCTTAGTACTAACTCTTTATATATAGAAGTCTTAATAGATACTTATAAATAAGTATTATATTAATAGTATATAGTACTAAAGTGTTTCTTTAGTAAAAAATTAAAAATATTAAAATATTAGCTAAAGGCTTAGCGCGCTAAGCTCTATAAAATTTACTATTTAATTATAAGTAGGCTATAAGAGCTCTACATCTTATACTTATTCTTATATATCTATATACTATTGCTTACAACACTAGATTAATAAATTTAAAATATATACTCTAGACCTAAATAATATAATTACGCTATAGTCTAGAATAAACTAGGTTATAGATCTTTATAGACTTAGAATTATAGAGACTATATCTTATATCTCTATTAATGTCTTACCTAATATAAAGAATACTAATATTAAGAAATACTACGCTAGTTATACTATATAATATAGTTATTATATTTGTACCTATACGCTTATTATATAGGTTAACAAGAATAGAAAGAAAAGCGCTACTATTTAAGTTAAGATAACCTCTAATAAGATAGTAGTAGCTTCTACTAACAGCGCTAAAAGTTATCTTCTAGACTTTTAAGTACATAATTTACTCTTTATTAGTTTACCTCTTACTAGAGCTATCTACTAAGTTACTAAGAAGCCTTCTTTCTATCTACTAATAGCAATTCTAGGTCTTTTACTTTAGCTACAAGCTCTACTAGATAATAATATATAGCTCTAGATTACTTCTTCTACTAACGCTATTACTATACCCTCTTTATTATTATTAGAGAACCTCTACTATTCTACTCTATTTCTTTCTTATATCTTACCTATAGCTATTATTATCTATATAATTATATACTTTATAATATATTTTATTTACTTTAGCTAGCTATTCTATAACTCTTTAATTTTTCTTAAAGTTAGTAAGCTTTATATAGTAGCCTACTAGTATAGCGTTAAATTATTTCTATTATAGCTTATTTATAAAGTTAGTATTTACTTTAAAAAATATCTATTCTACTAGTAATAGTGTATAGCTAAGTATTTAAAGTTATTAAAGAAGGCTATTTATAGTAGCTTTCTTAGTAGCTAAGAAAGTCTTTTTAGTAATTATTAATTCTAAAATAAATATTAGCTATATCTTTAATACTAATACTATAACATACTATAAAGTTAGCTAAGAATAAAAAGATACTTTTTTATATTTTATATTTATATATTAAGAAGAGAGGTAATAATAAGAAAGAAAAAACCTTTTACTAGTAAAGTAAACTTACTTATAGTAGTTTCTATAAGGTAGAGGCTCTTATAAAAGATACTTTTAGGTACTATAAAGCTATAGTAGCTAATTTAAATACTTAAGTTTAGAAAAGTAGTAGTAATAATAAAGTCTACTATAGTATGTGCGTTATATAAGTAATAAAGACGTAGTAGTAGTAACTATCTTATATTACTTTTTTCTAACTTAGAGTATAATATATACTCTAGTTCTTCTATCTTATTTTATAGTACTATAGTAGTAACGTAAATAAGTAACTTACAACTTCTAAATTTTATATGCACCTATCTAATTAGGTTCTCTCGCGAAAAGAGAAGTATTGTCAACACAAGAGCCTGCTCTATCCCCTACAGCTAGCCTACAACTTCACTACGAGAAGCTGTTGCATGAGCGCGACCAGCGAGAGCTTCAATACATTGCTGAGAGCAAGGACAAGGACAGGATGATCAGGACGCTCAAGGCCAAGCTTGGATGGTCTTTGGATTAGATGCTGGTGATTGGGTCGTGCATTGGGCGACACGACACTTGATGATGTACCAGGTGATATATGGTCGCGCAATGAGAGAGAGCTGATGGCTTGGTATTTTTGGGATCAAGGACTCTCGAAAAGAGAAGTATCGTCAACACAAGAGCTTGGGATCAAAGACAACAGGTCTGGAGCCTACATCGACGCCAGGTCGCCTATTTTGTATGCTTTCATGCTGATGTAGGCTGCAGGTCTGTTCAGCTATTTCTTAGTTAACGCGGGGCAAAGCACTTCTTCGATACTAGATAATCCTGCATACGGTTCAGTACTGTACATCTTCTGCTTTCAGTGATTCTGTTTTCTAGTTTCATACGTGCTGGACACATACCTAGGTCAGAAGTCGTGGTAACTAGAGGAGCGCGTCAGGTGATGTCACAGCCACGTGCTGCTAGGTCACAGATGTGCCTACCTATCTGGGTACGTAGGTGAGAGCAACACGCCAAGCCGAGACGCGTCGTTGTCAACAAACAGCCAAACACTCGACTTACCCATGCCCACAGATATCACCCACCCCGACACATCGCGATGGCCAATCTATATCTGATGCAAGCCTTGTACGCCCCGAAGCCGCCGCAGTCTACCCCTAGTCCTGGTGTTTCTGCGCTCGACGACAGCGCGCAGCCACGACAGAGTCAGTCTGCAACGCCCGAGCAGGCAATACATGGTGAGCGCCTCAGGATGATGAAACGTGAAGGTGAGAACCCCAAGGACCCGTTTACAGCCTTACTAACCAGAGCAGAACCGCCCGAGCCCGACTCGCAAGTCACTGAGCGCTGGAAACCGACCGGCGCCAACGTCCAGCCAGTCCGTATCAAAAGCGAACCCTCGCACTCCGACGCTGCGGACAGGTTTCTACAATCGCTTCCGTCCTTTCCCAGCAGCATCGCTGTCACGCCTTCTTCGCCCTCATCGATGTCATTGCCTGATGGCCTCACGTACCCAGTTGAGCGATACCTACCCCCAGCGGGATCATACTACGACCAGAACGCTCTCCTCCACGTCTTTGGCCCGATCTTCTTCAAATACAAACCCTGCATGATCTGTTGGACCTGTCACCCCGCCGCAGGCTATTCAACCACGTCTTGCGGGAAGGTATGCAAGGTCTGCGGAACCCGCCGCCACCCCGACGAGGTAAGAAATGTCCCTGATATTCGGTAGCAATGCTAACATCGGTGGTAGAGCTGTTCCCTGCTCTACTGTAATAGAGACTGGTATCGTCAGCAGGAGATTCCATGCGGTCCAGAAACCGTTCGAGATCGACAAATTCGTCCCGACAAACAAGAGCTCGCTGTCCTCTCTTATATCGGTGTCATGTATCTTGCACGCGGTCCAAACAACACTGTTCTTGTAAACCCAATGCATCCGATCGTCCAGGACTTCTACAAAGATAAGCCAAGGTCGAAGGCAATGATGCGGAAGATATATGAGGCGGACCCGAGGCATCGCTCGACGTCCATTCCATCGCGCAGTGGACCAAAGCTCGTGGCGAACGCCCCTCAGCAGCAACCGCTTCCGCCGCCGATGGGCCCATACACCATGCCGATAAGATCCGTGGACAACAGCCTCGACCCGCGTCTCCAGGGTCGCTCCTCCCATGGCGCGCCTGTCGGATTGACACTTTCGCAGCCTGAAACCGCCAGCAGCAACAGCGAGACCCCGACTGACCCAGAAGACATCGAAAAGAAGCTTCAGGACCAGGAGGTCGAGAATCTGAACTTGAGAATGCAGGCAGTTGTGAAGGATCGTGAGATTCGGAAGCTGAGGGCGGAGCTTGAGCAACTGCGCGCTCAATCTGCTAACACTGGTGGCGCATACTAGACCATTAGCGTGTAGCCTTGTTCGCAGGCTACTGTGTGCGGCTGGGTCGGCGATGATCGTAGAAGGATGTATATGTAAATGTTCAGAGATAAATGCAGCCAGGTCAGACCAGGCGAATGATGAAGTCCATGACGGTGATAAAACACCCTATATAAAAAAGCACTCTGGCGGCTATATTAGTGCATAGATGAGAGTTCCATGGTTTCCCGAGGCGATGTAGGCTCCTAGGTGATATACGTTGACATGGAAAATGATGTCGTGAGGCGCGCCGGTGCGGCGGACAGCGAACGTGGAGATGGGATGACTAATCTAGCGGCAAACCTCCATCCCTGATCTTCCGACGACGCGTCTCCATCACTCTTTCCACACGCTCGTCCAACCATGTATCGCAACGCATCGCAGCAGCCACGCACCATCACAACCACGCACGTCAATGACATTTTCCTATATCGTCGCAGTAATAGGCTTTACATCGACAAGAATGATTACATGACCTTCGAAAGAGCTAGTGGCAGGTGGCCATTCACAACTATCGCCATCACGGGTTGGTTTGCGCATCAAGCCTGCGTAGGCGGCGCAGGTTCGCGTGAATGTCTCGGTCGTTGCTTAAACTGCCAAAGGCCCACACTTCCCGCAAATTTCGACACACTCACGTTAGATTGCTTACATTTTTAGAGTTTCCCATCGTGTGACAACGGACATGTAACACCTTCTGGGACTGGCCCATCTGGGCTTTACCAGCTTGCTCCAACGGATCCGTAGCTGGGTGGGTGACCGCAACCGACGGTCGCTCATTGGGCGAGCATCTATCAGCGCACGATTTCTTCTTTTTGCCCTTTTCTTTTTTTCTTTTTTTGTGCGGCCGCCTTTACTGCTGACTTGCGCGTCTCTCTTCGCTGTCAAGTAGTCTCGCAACTTCATCGCGCTATACGCGTCAATTCCTTTTGTACTGTATCAATTGCTACGACACGCAGAATACTTGTTTCGGAGTAGAAGAGTTCTGGCAGAGGTATCCTGCTCGTATACCTTGATTAGTGTGCATGTGACGTGTATGTCTGGTAGAGCTACAGTAGATGTTTGATTCTGCTCTGAAGGTATCGTAGCGAGAATCAACGCTACAGGTATCTAACTCACGATAGCGACGGCACATCGCCTCAGATACCACCCATCCCTCCGATCCATCGCCGCAATCGACCACTCCTCAGGTCCTGGGCCGCTTCGCGCCCGTGGAACCGCCGCCACCAATCAACTCCGCAATCCGAGCATCTTTCGCAATCAGCTCAATGCGAGCTTGCTCGAGAGCTTCAGCTAAGCGCCTATTCTCGGCTTGTAAGAAGCGGATCTGCTCAGATTCATGCGCGAACTCCTGGACAGAGGTGCTCGCTTCTGCAGTGCCATCGACAAACTCATGTGTGACTGGTTGGTCGGCGATGGAAGCGATTTCACCACCGAATACCTCCTCCTCTTCCACCGCCACGCGTCGAGCCAAAAGGCGGGGATCGCGAGTGGGGTCTACGCTGTGGGTGGACTCCAACTTCGAACGCCCAGCACCTTCTGCGGCTTGACTGACATGCTGCTTGGCAACGCTTGACTTTGACCGCTTCTGAAGCGCTTTCGGCTTGGGCCAAACAATTCTCGCCGGCGAATGTTGGGGCATCGAGGTCGTTCGGTAAAGCTCTCGCACGAGCGGATGATTGTCCTTCAGGACAACAGGGTCTGTGAGCTTTTTGAAGCTGTGCACGACGCCGGCGGCGACAAGGTATACCAGCTCCCTGACGCTGGGACGCACGCGCATTGTCTTGACCACATTATAGCCCCGAGCCCTCCACCACGCCAGCGTCGCGTATATTTGACCACAAGTCTGCCCGGGATGGTCATTCTTCTTGCAAACCCGACACTTCTTCCTACACTTCTTGTGGGTATCTTCATGTTTGGCCTCCCAACAAACAATGCACACGCGTATCTCGCCGTTGGCGTGCACGTCGAACACGGCTTCGCCGAAATGGCTTCCGAGGGTATACTCGTCGTAGTACGGTCCAGATGGCGGCAGGCAGTTGGCTATTGGTACCTTCAGACCCTTCACCGGACCAATGGGCTTGAAGACATTGGGCTCCGTCTCTACTCGCACGCTGAACAGCTGTAGTTCGCGTTCGGTTGGAAGGTCGTCTGCGAATACAATGTCAGCTAACCTGATCAAGAGAGGGAAGGCGTGTGACCCTGGCGCATACGAGGTCGTCGCGCCCCGTCATGCAGCCACCGCAGGATGCTTGAAGGGTATCGCGCTTGCTCATTACGTCGAGGTCGGTCACACGAAAGTACGATGTACACTTATACTCACACTCAACTCCACCATCTGTCCGCCTTGCTGTCTCCGAGGGCGCGTTCCGTTGTGGGTCAGGATCACTATCGCGGCGGCCATACACGGAAGTGATGTCGCGTTGTTCCGACATCGCGTCGATACTGGACGAAAGAGGTCGCGGCTTGATCGTGGAAAGATGGAGTGTGGGCGGTGTTCGACGCGAAAGGTGCGGTAGAAGATGGGTGGGAGGTGTTGGGCAATGTGCGACTATGGCGCGATATTTTCATATCATGACTTAGCGTCACGCGCAGAAACTTTCGACTTGTCTCTTTCACTATCTGATCAAATTTGAGACGATGTAGGTCAGGATACAGGTCAAGCGCTCGAACGAAGCCGCCGCACTTCCGTCACCAGGATTGGGTCGCAACGAGAGCCTGACAATAAAGGTCATATCAACGAGATCACATTGCGACGGGTGGACCGACAGCCACATCAAAACGAGGTTGTGTTGAACGTGTATCGAACAGCTTCATGATCACTGCCAGTGGATACAACAATACCGACATGTAATCTTTCGAAAGGGTCTCGGTGTTGCGACTACGAGAACGCGCACAATGACGGCCCGCCTGTCACCATCATACAGACTTCCAATCATAGCCCCGACATCTTGTGGACACAAACGCTTTTCTCGAGACATAGCCCATGTGCTACGCTCATCAGGAGTCTGGACCACACGATATTTCTCTCAGCATTGTTGTAGCCAATTTCCGCATCCTCACTGCGTATTGGCTCCGTCCCCGCTCTGAGTAAATAGCATAAGTCACTGGCAAATGACGCGCTAACGCTACTGAGATCGGACTAGGCCGACTGCGCGGTTTCTGCCTGGACCCTCCAACCGCTGCCTTCACTTTCTGTCTCGTCGCCTAAGCCATCCTCATCAACACGTCAAGTCGACTTTTGGACGTTGGATATGGCGCCGCGCGACCAGCCAGACGGACCTCACGGGCCAGCGGCGGCCCTCAAACCGGAGCGATCGAATGACGAGGTCTTTCTCGACCAGTTTGCGGACAGTCCTGACGGAGGCACGAAGCTGTACAAATTCTTCCAATCCTATCCCGCGATTGACTACTTTCCTTCGTTTCGCGAAGTAGAGCGTCTCGCTCAACACAAGGTCAACGAGATATTTGGGGCTTTTGAGGATGTGCGTTACATTCTTGAGCGACACGAAGATACTATTCGCAAGAGGTGGTGCAAGAAGAGCACCACGAAGAAGAAGAAACTTCTCCTCACGGCAAAGCCGGGCATGGCAAGCGAGCATCGACCTGATATTGCGGCAGAGCTTGCAGCGACCACAATGACCACAATCTCTGACCTTGAAGATGAGCTTTTTTTCGTTTCTGTCTGTACAGCAAGAAACAGCGAAGCCTGCCTGGTGCCGTTCCTGAATCTAGAAGACCTTCTCCATCCAGGGAGCTTTCTTACATTGCTCAACTCTCGCGGTCGCAACCCAATCGAGACCTTCAGTCACACGGAACTGCACCACTGTCCAAGCGCGTGGTGGCCAGATTCGGCCCTCCTCCCATATTTACAAAGATTCACGATGGTCTTCGCTGGACGTAACACACGAAACACCTACGGTCGTATTCAGCGCTGGAGAGACTCCAATGACGCTTGGAGGTCTATCTACAAAGGCCAAGCAGTTCATCCAGGCAATGGGCTTCAGATCCTTTGTATACAGGAGATCATCTACACATTCTTGCAGCGATGCTGTCATCTCTTAGTCGGTGATCTCTTAGCTGATGGGAAAGGACAACAGGCACAGCATCCCAACATACCGCCGACAGTCCCCGTAGTAGATGACACACTCAACTACACTAATCGGGCAGAGGTTTCACTGATGACTCCATATGGTATTCCGGGGCAATTGGACTTCGGCCGCTTACGCAGCTTGATCAGCTCCAAGGTTGGCGAGCTTGAGGACCATATCTGGGCTTTGCGAGAAGACCCTGGCTATTTCAGTGAAGTCTTTCACGACTACGAGAGGCACATTGTTGAGTACAGTGTCTTCATCGATGGTAATGGAAACGCTGCACTGAAGGAGCAGCCTGATGCCGTCCCCGGTCTTATCCTTCGCAATCTCATAACTGATCCCTATTGTGCCTTGTTCTACTGGCATAGATGTTTACACCTTCTGGATCGCCTGGAGTCTACTGCACTACGACACAGCTTCAAGTTCGACTCGCACGAAGAACTGCCAGAAGACTATCGCGAAGACCTTTTGAGACTTTGGACGGTTCTCAATGCAATCCAAACCGATCTTCACGAGTGTTTCAGACAACACGTTCTAGCCACACCAACAATGAGAACCTACATTTCCAAGACAGCAGAAGACCCGGATAGTCGGAACTATGCATTCGAGTTTGAGATGTCGCAAGCAAAGGGGGATCCAGTCACCATCCGTTTCCTCGAAGTACTATCTCGAATCATCGTCCCACCCGACCCACCCAGGCATGGGTTCGTAGCAGAGTTGGACGACATTGAGAGACTTATCATCAAGGATCCTGCCGCGAAAGGTCTTCTGTCACCGTTTGTGTGGGCTGACTTCTCCCAAATGTCTGTCTCATCCGAATGCATTCAGCGGATCCGGTTCTACCAGCCATGGTCAATGCAGCTCGAGTATGAGATGATATATCGTAAGCTAGAATTGGGGTTGGAATTTGCCATTTTCACAGGAAGATGGAGACCTGTATGCACCATGCGAAGTTTTGAGGATGTTGCTTTGAAGCGTATGGCAGATCCTTCAAACGGGAAATTTCACTATCCGATCACTGAGAGACGTAGCTGCGCCACGACATATGCTCTACGCCTAGCGGAAGAGAATCTTGATGACTTCTGGAAGGCTGCCGACTCGTTCTGCAGGAAGTTGACGGGATCAAGCTTCCCGGATTTACTAGAGCGGGATATCAGCCACGGTCGGTCTCTACGCCGCACTGCACCGTGGACTGAGCCGTCCGCCCGAAAGGAAGTCACGAGATTCCACGAAAGTCACAGCGAGTCTTTCCACCAGTACACTTACAAACCGCTTCTCTCGGAGTCCTACCGGGGGGCGGAGGCGCTGACGTCGGTCAAAAGAAAGGTCAAGACTCGCGGCACCGTCGACTTGGCGAGAGCTGAAGGCAACGATGCTCCGGATTCTACAGACCAAACAACTGTTCCAATAGGCGTGACTGTCGACAAGCGCTCTCATCTGGTCTTCAAGACCCTGTTCTTCTCTCCTTCCGCAAGAGACGTACCAGGCGAAGTCTCATGGAAGGACTTCGTTCACGCTATGGTCCAGCGTGGCTTTGAAGCTGAGAAGCTCCACGGTTCGTCATGGCGCTTCACACCAACGACTTTGAGTACAGAGCGTGCGATCCAGTTCCATGCTCCACACGGCGCGCTCAACAAACTACCTTTGACATGGGCGAGGCGGTACGGCAGGAGACTCGAGAGGGAGTATGGGTGGACAGGTGAGATGTTTACTCTTGCCTAGGCTTGAGAGCGCGCATTGGATCGACGTCTGGCTATCTGAACGACACGCATAACTAAGCGCTGGAGCTGCCTCGGGGTTTGGATTGACTGATGGCTCAGTGAAAGGTACGCGTTGGAGGATATGAGATACGAGATCACGATTCAAGACAGATGCGCGGCCGTAGCGACTCCATATGCAGGAACAGCCAGAAAGGCACTAGCATACATGCTCCACACCAAGTAGTCAAACTCGATGGCCATCAATACCACATGCCAAATACGTTCTGTTCCTCCCAATTCCTGTCAACCCGGAAGCTACATGTTTGCTTCAGCTTGACGCCATGTCTCTACAGTCCCATAACAACCTTTCTTCAAGCCCCACTCAGCAGGCAAAGAGCATGTCTCGTTTCAAACCAACGCTTTGGCAAAGATCTTGCTCTCTCGTCTTCCCCTTCACATGCCCGGCTCATAATGATCACCACCAGTCGACATCTTCCCACGGCGCTCCCCTTGGCGAATCCTGGTAAGTACACGTCTTCTGTACCGCGGTTTCATCCGATTGTAGATAGCCAAAGCCGCGATGTCATCGTCTTCATACGCCGCCAGGACCCTCCTATCGTACTTCTTGAGAGTCCCGTTTTTCCAATTGCGCTTGGCGCGCGGGTAGTCAATCTCGATGAAGCTTAAGTCATGGCGTGGCCAGACCGCAACGGCTTTGGCAATCGCCGCAAGGGCCTTGGGCTCGTCCCATCCGGTGTAGTCGATGCCTGTAGCTTCTGCGGCTTTGGACATAGCTATTGGGACGAAATGTTCGAAGCGCGCAAGGAGTGCTTTGTCTCGAGTATGATGCGTTGGAGGGCTTCGTTCGCGTGAATCGGGGTAGTCGTTACTGTACTCGTATTAGTGAGCCTGGTCGGCTTGGGAAGCGATGGTCGCTTTCATGTCAGTGTCCGCGGTCTCCGTCTTGATGAAGGGCATAAGCTCGGCATTTGAAACATCAAGTGCGGCTTCGATGTCAGTATCTTCGGTCTCCGCCTTGATGAAAGGCAAAAGCTCGGCATCCGACGCATCAAGTGCAGCTTCGAGAGGACCGTATAGCGCATCCAACCCGGACACGAAGTCATTGAATGCCAAGCTTTGCTCCTTGAGAGGAGATCGCGCGAAAGCCATCATGTCTGACGCAGAGCGAGAGCTTGATGGTGGCGTTGAGCAAGATTTCATTATTCTCATCCAAAAAGGTAACATTGACTAGCGCTCTTGGCGCGCAAACAAAGCTGTTCAAGTTTTCCCATCCGTTGCCATGAACACAATGATCACGTGATTACGCGGGACGCTAAGCGCACAGTCCGCGCCTTCCTACTTTGCTACCCCGCGATGTCAGCTCTACTCGTCGTCTTCTCCAGTAATCAAAAAGTGAGTGAAAGATTGGAGTTCATGGGAGTCTCTACTGATATATAGCAGATGTATCCGTACATGAATCCCAATCCTCAGCATTGGTATCCGTATCCCAATGGGCCACCACCTCAACATCCACCTGTAAACTACACAGTTGTACCGAGTCAACAGCCACCGCCGCCTCCACCGCAGTACCCGTATCTGCAGCCCCAATACTTTCCACCACAACAACCTTTTGCTCCGCCTCCACAGTATACCCCTCAAGTACAACAATATCCGGTACAACCAGTGCACTACGCTGCGCATCCGCCTCAATGGCATGCGCCCCAATGGTATCCACCTCAGTGGCATCACCCACACCCGCAAACCGTTGCACCGCCCCAACAGTACTATCAACCGCAGCAAACATGCTATCCATCGCAACATCAATACGGCCCACTGCCTCAGCCGACGAATCTTCCGCAGCCGCAAATCCATCCTCTCCCTTCGCATAGCGGGCCAGACTACGTACCTTCTCAGCCTATACCACAGTACGACGCCGCAACAGTAGCGCCTGCACAGTGCGCACCTGTATCTCCTCAAAGACAGATGACTCAGAGTCCGTCAGAATCTTCAACCCGTGGTTCTTCTCGGCAGTTCGACTTCGACGAAAACTATCAAACGAGCGGCGATGTATCTAGATCATCTTCACCAGAGAGGGGCTATGATAACTCCTCGCCGACAAAGACTGACATCGTCTCCCCAACTGACATTGCTGCACCGGATCTTTCGACTGTGTCTTTTGGAAGCCTGCTCGATACGGAGGGTACATCTTTAGCAGTTCTAAACTGGGAGGCCTGGATGGCAGCTCAAGCTCGCGCAAAGAGGGTCGCAGACGAACTCATCTTGCCGGAAGGGGGGATCCCTATCATACCACCTCCCTGCGATAAATTCTTCGACCCTATGCCCTGGAAGACTTGTCATCGACGACTACGACCCCATCATATCTATCCCAATAACGAAGACGGTTCGCGGAACTACGGGATGCTTTGGGCAGAACTCTACCTTTGCAGCAAGTCGAACCAGTTTGGACTCTGTTGGTATACATTCGGTACCCCAGACAGGTGTCCACTTGGCGCAGCTTGTAGATGGGAGCACTATCTACCCTGGAGAAAGCTTCGTTTTCTCATCACCAGCGGACGAGTCTCTGTCGAGCTCGCTCGCCAACTGATGGCAAACTTGAAGTCGGATGAAGATCCGGATCAACACCCAAAGGCTATAGACAACATGGAAGCTATCGTTATAGGTCTTGGTGAGCGCCTTCAACCTAAGGTTCTGCTCAGCCGGCGTGGCTTAAACGCATGGTCGTGGGAAGATGTTCACTGAGCGCCTGCTGTCATGAGTTGATCTCCTTTCCCACTCAATCTACTCATCTAATCTCGTCTCGTCGCTGCAGTCTGACATAAAAGTTTCTGATGGTTTACTGTGCGCTCTACCGTGCGTCTTGCATAGTGTTCGGGCTGTACCTCTTCTAGTACGGTATTTCATGTTCTCCTTTCCCGTCAAACTCGGCCTGATTCTTTGTTGCGCTCTATGCTGTCACATGTAGTTGCTGAATCCCACGGCAAGCAATAATACCTGCTATTTCCTGCGTTTCAGCTGTACCTTTGGTATGGTGTTACTCGATGTTTTATCTTCATTCGTCACCATCAGACCTTGGAGTTTGGTGTCATTTACTTCTTCCTTTATTTTTGGCTATGCGGAAGCGCATACTTTTGTTTCACGTTTTGATGGTGTGCCATGTCTTCGCCATGCTGTCATCGACTGCAATGTAGAAGAGTTGTTGTAGTTAGTCCGCCACTTTTCGGGGCAGTAAATGGCTTTTTCAATTCGACAAGAATCTCATAGTTCGCGACGAGGCAGAATTTTCCCTCAGTGGACGCGCGTTCGCAATAAGTTCAATTACAATCACAGTAGCTTTTGTTGTGCTTGTTCATGCTCTGTACATCCTCTAACCGTTAATGAGGCTTCATACATTCTGTGTCAGGGTCCTTCTATATCCTAAGACCCGGGCGTGAGTTCATTCGCATCGTTGAACATAATAGTGTACTGATCGGTGAATGCTCCATTCCTGGAAGCTACTCAAAGCCATCGAGCAGATACCACGATTTCAGCACCTGTGATATTTGATAAGGTGTCAACTAATGCAGTCTTGACTCTTGCAGTCGTTACATATCTGGCTGGCCAACATGGGATGGTCCTAATGGGTATAGTGACGCGCCACGCTAAGCGCACGGCTCTCGCACAGTCAGTAAATACACGTGGGGCTTCCTCTTATCCTTTTCACACACACAAGGAAATAAGACACAATGGCGAACAAAACTAAATACGAGAAGTTTCTCAAACGAAAGAACCGCAAACAACGAAGCAGCATCAGAGACGCGGAGTGCAACCGCAAATCAAATATCAACAACCAAAAACGACATCCCAATCACTTTGGAAATCCAGGTATGAGACTCATTCCAAAAGCCGCCTTTTGAAGAACACTGAGAGCTGACCGATTTCAGAACCTTTGATGGACACCGCATATAATCCAGACCACGACCCGTTCGAAAATGGTTACATGGAAAACAAATGTGCCAAAGATAAGCACATCCGCTTGTACGCACACGACGGCAAGTGCTACAATCGCGCTGTCATCATGAAGGGCCCCACTGTAGCGGAAAACGACATCTCATCGATACCCGTCGACGTCCAGCATCCCCTCTCCGCCGAGACCACAGCAAACGCGAAGCCGGAGAGCGATATCAAGATGCTTGAGGCGCAGCATTCGGTGTCATACATGGAGGGAAAGGAACGAGCAAAGGACACTAGTAGAATTATAAAGCTAGAGCAGCCTCCATGGCGCACAAGCCTTCCCCCACGGAAACCGGAGCATGACTATGGTGTCACACAAGAAGGCGTATCACTCCACGGCAGGCTGTCGCCTTGGCTCTACCTTTGCGATCACACATGTGACCTGGGCTTATGCGACATCACCTTCCGCCTACCTTCTGCTTGTCCGTTTGGTCCGGCCTGTCGCTGGAAGCACGAGATACTCTGGGACGAGCTGAGCTTCCTTATCACTAGCGGTCGCCTCAATCTCCGCCGAGCTCGTACCATGCTCGCCAACTGGGAATCGTCTACTACGCCGGCTGATGACGTTGACGTTTGGTGCCGCATGAACACCATCATCGATCGTCTACAGTATCTTGAGGCGCCAGCGGAGATTAAATACACATATCCGCATCTATTCCCCGTCTCCGATTCTCATGCTCTCTTCGAGAGGCTGAGTGACGGATAGCGAGTTGAGGGATAGGTCACGACAAACTCATCAAGACCACAGCGCAAAGCTCTTTCTCTCACCATCTATAACGTCTAGTTGGTTAGCAGCGCACCTAAGCATTGCTTGCTTGCTGTACGCCGCAATCGCCAACACAGGACATGGGCCCTTCTCGCGTCTACGAGCTGGACTTCAAAGCCTTGCCGACCGTGCAGGGGAACTTATCCATCCTGACCGCCTCTGGTAGTCGCTTACAGCGCCTGCCATGCTACCCGCTTCTCGCGCAGTCGTTAGCCTGAAGGCTTCACTTCTGCTACGCGCGCAGCTCACTTCATACTATTTAGATCTTTGCATCTCGCTATGATCTTTGGGTGTGTGAAAGTAGTCATCGTGTGATCTGGTACTGTCTTGATCGCTTTAGGGATCTGATAGTTGCCGTGATCATGCGATGCACCAACTGTAGAGCCATTGCCTGGTACGTATCGGTCTTGCGCTTTGTCACTTGTGGATACAGCCGTTGCCTGATGCCAATTGGCCTAGCGCTCTATTTCTGTGCCGGGTCGATCTGCTGTGCTTGCATGGCTTGATCTTAGACACAATGGACGATGGGGAGGAAGAGATGGGGGTGTACGAACAAAATGACATCAAGATCATCGCCGTGCGACGTCTGCGGAGATCATCACAGCATGTATCCCATCGTAAAGTACACCACGAGCAATATCATGCCCTGGTACATTCCGCTCTCTCTATAAATGTCTTTGTTCAAATCGTGCTATCTATCCCGTGAGTCGTACGCGATGCCTGCCAGCGCCACACGAGTATATCATTCCGATCTTCACACGCGTTCGGCATCGTCACCGCCAACATCTGAGATGTGGAACAGCAACATGACATCCCACTTCTCCTTGAAGATAGTAACCTTATCGACAGTCTTGTGACCTAGTCCCTTCCTATGCTGTATGAGGAGGTAAGCGACCCCAGAACCATTCGGTGAGCCTAATAATGCATTGAACTCCACCGAGCCTGCGCTGTATGTTGTCCCCGGCCATGCTTTTACAACAAGTCTGCCCTGTAACGTTAGAAAGGTAACGGCAAAGCGCGTGACATCGTTGAGGACGTTGTGTCGAAGTACGTAACGTAGGTTTGACTTCTCGTTGGCTTTCGACAGCCATTGGAGATACGCTACATCCGACCAGTGTTTCAATTTCGGGATAACTGAGTAGCATCCTCCGCACTCTTCAATCATGGCTCGGGCTGTGTAGTTGTCATACGCCACTATAATTCCATCCGAGGGGTTGATGACTTGGCAAAACAACGCTTCCGTTGCTGCACAGCCTTGACCACCCACCGCTTTCGGGTCCTCGCGTTGGTGGCCGACGCAGAAATTGGGTCCTTCATTCTCATCAAAATCCCCATTTAGTCCAATAAGCCACAGAATGTCGCAGAACCATTCCTTTGCGGTATCTGGGTACGTAAATTCGTCCTCTTCGTACCCCCATTCTTGGAGATCCTGCACAGCTGTGAATACACTTTCAGTCGATTCTGATGGTTCTGCGATCATCACTTTAGATAGCTGGGCGCCTTTGACAACGAGCTTCTCGAACTTTTGGCTGACGCGCCACCAATCAACTTGCTTCGCATCGTTCGAGCTACCCGTGTCTACTTTTAGCGACACCGCAAGCTCCTCAAACGGTGATAAGTTTGGATGCGCGGCTGGAGCTGGGCTCAAATCTTCCACCGGACGGGTTTGAGGATTTGACGTCATCTTTTGAAGGAGTCTGTGAAACATATCGGGATGAAACTGAGGTGGCGCTCGGGGTAGTGAGTAGAACTGGCATACTGGAGCGATTGTATACCAAGTGGACGCTGTGATGAGCGACATTGTTCATTGTTCACAAACAGCTGTGAAATACGTGTTGTCAACATAGTCAGTACATGAGACTCACCGTAAACCACCGACTTTGTATTCTACGCATTTCACGGGCGCGAATGGATTGGAAAACGATATGCGTTTGCATCTTTCCCCATCTCTTCCCGCTGGCTGCATAGCGCGTGTTCAGTTCGGTCTGGATAAACGGTATTGACATTTAAGCGACGCACGTTGCTGTCTCGGAGCTCTTCCGGTTTTGACTAAAGATTCCGGTGATGGAAGTGCTGTCGTGGAGAGGTCTGATCGTGCACGTCGTTCCGGGACTCTTCCTACACGCAAAGTGGTGTTGGAGATCAACTGAGCCACTGCGCAGTGTCGCATTCGGCTGATGTTAATGATCTTTGATAAGAAGTAGTCGTTCCAGCTTGCTTGACGGACGATCTCAAATCTACGTGTCATCGAAGTTTCGGGGTCGGAAGTGCCGACGCCATGCCCTGGAAGGGACTAGGCGCACTCAGACCAAGGTTGCCATCTTCCCGATGTTCCGACGACACGTCTTCATCACCCTTCTCCCTCCTCAAATCTTGCGCATCGTCACTTTTCACCGCCACATCTAGGCGCACCCAATCCATACATCAGGGCGCTTACTAAATCGTTACGGTGAGTTGTGTAGTCATAGTATCTTCTTTGAGGTGGGGCAACGGCAGCGGTGCGGTTATAATGGTATAGATTTTACTAATTGTCATCGAGAAAACAAGAAGAGGCGCTGCCGGGAAGCCCGTAGAACGGCATCGCAGCAGCGACCTCGTGGGCTATTAGCTGGGTGGGTGACCATTAGCGAACGCCCAATTGTGAGTACTTCGATTTTTGCCCTTTTTTGCTCTTTTTTGCCCTTCCTTCCTCTTTTTGCTCCTTCATTCCTCTTGTGCCAATTACAGCGAGCTATACTTCAATGTGTTTTCACTGTTCTCGCTCACTTTTTCGTGAATGCCTAGAGTTATACGTCTGCGTAGAGGATGCATCTGGCGACGTTATACGATGTCTTTCCTACTACATGTCTCTAGTACTATCAAGGCCAACTCCAGGTTCTACTACTGTATACCTCAAACGTCCATTAGACCTCAATCTCGTACTCGCGGCTCTTGACGTATGCATCAACGCCTCGCCCGCTTGTTCGATTCGTTCGCAATACTGGTCTCCACGTTCTCTACCACCTTCTCCAACTCACGAATCCGGTTCTTCGCCTCTTCGAGGCTTTGTTCTAGCTCTGCCACCTTCGCATCCCTCTCCGCGATCACTCCACGCAGCTGCTCAACCGTCGTCGGCGGCAACGCCTGTTCTTCCGCCACAATCTCCTCTTCCGCAACCTCTTGTATAGCCCTGGGTAGCTCTTCCTGCTCCTGTTCTATGCTGACATCGGCCCCTGTATTCGGCTTCGCGATGTTCGGAAGTGAGGAATCGACGGATGCAGTACCTGTAGTCGGCAAAGCAGTCGCCAGAACAGGCGCTGCTTCCGTCTCGTTGACGGTCTCTGTGCGTGTTGTAATCAGCTTCGCTTGGGTCTTACTCGTCTTGTCTGCCCTCGCCGGAATGGTGGCCTTCCTGAAGAGTGGTTCCGGATCATCTCGACCCTCGTAGAACTCTCGCACCAGCGGATGATCCATGTTCGGACGAATGGGCCAGGCCTTATTCTCCTGGAGATAGATGATGCCTGCGAGAACGAGATAAGCCTGCTCAGCAGCCTCGGGACGGAGTTGATAGCCCTGCGGAGGCATGTGTCCAAGTAACTCCCAAAGTGTCTTCGGCATGTACGGAGCATGACATCCGCTTCCAACATGGTCACCAGTCCGACATAGCGCGCACTCCTGATCGCAATCGCGGAGGCTGTTGACGTGCTTCTGTTTCCAGCAGGACATGCACTTGTTCGATTTGTTCATGAGATTCTTGCCGAACACCTTTTCGAACTGCATCATGTCGTAGTAAGGACCGGCCGGAGGTAGGTAGTCCTGGATCGAACGAGATAAGACCTCGACAGGCTGGATGCGCGACTTCTCTACTCGTCCAGATCCGTCGCGGTTGATCTCCATGACGATGTTCGAGCTCGCCAACTCGTCGGCGTTAGGCAACCGATCTATCAAATGTTGTCAGCTAGGTACGACTTGCTAAAGACTGCTGTGTCACGTACAGTTGTACTTCTCGTAAGAGCCGTACCCGGTCGCAGATCGTGCGGCGGGCGGCTTTTTCGCATGTATCGCCTGGCTCAACAGATGAAACGACATCCTAATGGCGACTTGTGTAGACTATTCGAAGGATGGACCGGAAGGAAGGCGCCGTGCAGCGTATGGAAGTTGCGCGAAAGACTGGCGGCGAGAGGACACTGGTGCGCTATCGTTGAGAGCCAAAAGCTTTTGCACCGTGCGGAAAGGTCTGCGTTAGCGAGCGCGCCCTTTCACTGCGTTATGGTTTTTGATAGAGCGCTCTTTCACTCTCTTCGAACGTCGAGAAAAGTGACCGCGGGCGTCGGGTCATAGTCAGCCAGACAGGGCAGCAGACAGACGTCAGGGCAATCAGGTACCCGTAGGAGCTACGCGGAATCAGCCCCTGTCCAGACCGCTTGGTTCGTCAGTTCAATATCGCTCTTTATCGTGGCCACACGACGATGTATCAATATATGACATTCATACATTGGACCAACCACGCGCGGGTGTAGTCACCTTGAACGACTTCCCTTAACCATCCGACTATCCTTCGAAAATCCCAGGGAAGCAATTCATGACATTAACGTATGAGGCCGCCAGGTAAATTCATAGCTTGACTACAAATTGATATCGGACTCGTGGCTACCTCACGTGGAGCTTTGACGACTCAACGTCATTCACGCATAAAACTCGCCAATGTCCGAAGACCTCGATTTTGCTATATGAGAAAAAGCATCGCCATCATCCCAGCAAGTGTCGCGCGTCCTTATGCTCGCACGACACGCCGAGGAAAGGTCAACTACCCCTTCTTCGAATCGGGATAGAGCCTTGAGTTATATGTATACCGACGCGCGTCGCAATGATCGCTCATCGAAATACTAGCAGCGAGTGTACGAATCCACTCGAAGCATGGAGCAAATAAACGAAAGAGGAAGGTCTATAACTCTTCCTCAGTTCAGTCCATGAGGGCCCCACGGGACCTCCTCATCCGCCGCCAGCGCTGAAGCGTCGTCGTCTTGGTCTTGTTGTACTTTGACATCTTCTTCTTGGATGCCATTGTCTTGTACCCCTCCATTCTCAGCATCCTTGCCATTCGTATCAGCTGCTGTGTTCTGTACAGGAGGGGGCTGGGTGGTCTTGTCCTCAGCGCCTTGCGTTGATGAGGTAGCTGGTGGCGATCTGAAGCCCTAGAGATGGGGGCGGCCTGCTGGGCTTTGTGGTGGTTGAGACGGGCATCCGCAAGCCATATGCGGCGATCGAAATCCTTGTCCACGTACACGTTCCATACTTTCGGATACGTGTGTAGCCAGTTCCGAATACCTTGGTCCATCGGATGGACCTCGCTGTAGGGATCCAGTTGCGCGGCCGCCAACTGTAGCCCGACCTGATGGATAAATTCTGCAGCTTGTCGGAATTCTTTGTCGTCTTTTTTTTCCTTTCCAGGGAATTCTTCATGAAGTCAGTAATGGAATCTTTGCGACCAGGCATTGACTTACGTCTATTGGTTGGCGTTGGATATACTGGGGCCTCATCGATCGTGGGCTCTGGGACGGAGAACTGGTTGAGGATGCCGTGCTGGTAGCCTGCGGTGGCCTGAGAGGCGCTGGGTTCCTCGGTTTTGAGGGCCATGAGGGCAGACAGAAAGTCGTCGAACCCTATCTGGTGGGGTGCTGGTGTGTTGTTGGTGGTGTTTGGTTCATTTCGACCGAGATTCGCCATTTCTACGGCATTGTTAGTATAGCACATGAACCTTTTGAAGGATATCTTACTTGTGGTGGTATCGTGATCAGTACAGAAACTTCATGGGTCCAAAGGTGGGTTTGTCTTTGCGTGCGCGCCAAGCGCGCTAGTGCAGATCTGACGACACTGGGTGCGTTGGCCGGGCTCTGGTCCTTCATATACGCTCGTGGAAGGAGCGAGGAAGGACTTCATAGTTGACAAAGACTCACCCACTCAAGACTTTTGCAATACGTTCGAGGTGAGCGAGTTAGTAGCGCCTTTTATGCAAGTGTCTTTACAGACATAGTAAAATCGGTTCTCCAATACATTGGTATCGTCTTCACTCTTAGTACTACCGTAAACTTAGCCTTCGCACCTACAATGCCGCTTCTGTTTCACGTACGATGTAGCACTTGTTCAGGGTATTGCTACTTGGATTTGCTAACCAGTACACTCGCTGCATCGCTCCATGGCTACGTATAGCTCATACTCTTTCTGTTGGCAGAGCATTACACTGCTGACCAAACACCAAACTGAAACGTACTCTCCGTAGGTTTGCATTCTTCTCGGCCGGCTTTGTACCCATGTGTCATCGAGAGTACTTCCGGTCAAGGTCAATCACGTGCTGTCACAAGACTGATTCGTCGATTGGGTACCTAGCGAGTTGTGTTGCAGGACAAAACTCGGCATCGTAGACAGCTGTCGGCGGAGATGAAAACTTCCTGTCACTTCCTTACACCGCTACGAAACAGATCTGTTGTGTGACCCTATCCGTCACACAAGCGACACTACGGCCTCTTCGGCTCCCATTCCCGCATACACTGTCTTCCCATCCAACAAATATCTGCATTTTTGCTTCTTTTATTCAGGGTCTTAACAAATCAGAGCGTGGACCGTTCAGACACAGCCGCGTTGACACTCTCTGAGTCGTTGGGACGCTAGATATTGCGTCACGATCGATCCTTGGCAGTCTATAAGGTGTCCCGGACGCCCTGGTTTTTGTGGATATAGGGTTGAATCAGATCTCTGGATCAGCACGTAGCTGCGGATATCTGATGGGCGCCTGTGAGTTGAGTCGCCCTTGAGCTCAATCTACTGGACAGGCTCGATCCACGTCTGTTGCTGTACCGATCCACTGCAAGGCTGAGTTACGAAGAGGACGACTCGACCAATCCGCCACGCTCGAATCCCGATTTTCCATAGACCCAATGCTCTTGTGTATACACCGTATAAGCTTTGCAATGAGGCTCTGCTGCTGTGATAAATAGTGGCTCTGACCCACGTTTCGATGTGATTCACCACCCTCGCGACCTACCACTTTGATAAACCATCATTCCTTGCATCGATCCCTCCAGCATGTCTTCACTATCGACCGAGGCCATCATTGCAATTGTAGCTGCTGTAACGGCTTGCTCTCCATTCTTCATCATTGTCGGTCGCCGCATCAGTCGTCACTACCAGAGCGACCGTAACAACCAACGCGAACGCCAGGGTAAGATCGTCTGAAACCTCCAACCTTGAAACACGTCACTGATTCTTCCCCAGATATCGAGTTGGCCTTTACACCCACAGGGATCTCCGAATCGTCCAGCATGTGATGCATACTATTCTTCGTCCCGGTGTTGCATATAATCCTGCGCGATGATCGGAACACGCCTCGGAGAATATCAACTACAACGCTCTTTTCTCTGTTCAAGTTCGACAATATACCCTTCCAACAGAAGACATCACATGCCCACAAATATACCCGCCATCACCACAGATACACTCTTCTCATGCAACAGACTTATACCATAGACTGCAGTAGACAGTATCGCTTGTCATAGTCATTCCCATAGTCGTATATCTACGCTAAAACACCACACCCCAACATCCTAAAAACATTCTTCCACCTCACACTCCACCACTTCCTCTCTCCCCCACCTTCGCCCCTATCCAATTCACTCCTGTCACCGCCCAAACTACCCAAACTCCCCTCACTCCCCCCACTCCCCTCACCATCCCCCTCCACACCCTCATCTCCAACATCCAACTCCTCACCAATACCAAACTCATCACCTCCAACACACATCCACCTCTCCTGCACCCTATCCTCAACCCCTACCTTCCGCCCATTCCCATGCCAAAACGGCTTCCCTTTCTTCCCTTCCCCTTTGCCTTCCTCTCCAGTCCCGTTGATACCGTCCACGTCTTCAGTGCCGCTACCCGGACGTATCCAAGGCCCAGTCACACCGAACATCGCGGCTGCTTGACGGATTCCTTCGTCGCGGTAGCCATACCATTCCCGTCCTTCTTCTATGATCGTGCACGTGGGAGGCGGCTGAGCGAATGGTGTACTTCCATTTGAGTCTTTGGAGATCCGGCGTTGCCGTTGTTCTAGGACGAACTCAGGGAGGGTTGTGGCGAAGATGGATATGTCGTTTTTCGGTTTGCCGACTACAGTGTCGATTTCGGGTTTAAATGAATCCGCATGAGGTAAGCTAGAAGATACCGATATAGTTGACGGTGAAGATATATTCGACGCGTATTTTGGGTTGCAGACTACGTTGCCAATCCCCGCTCCGCACGCCATACTCTCCAGTGAAGATATATTCGATGGATATTTTTGGTCGCCAAACACAAAGTCGAACATATCATCTTCAGATGACTCCGCTTGAGGGAAGTTGGCGTAGATGGAGGTGCTGCGGCCGCGCCAGCAGTGGGATGTTGCTGTTGAGCCCATGGCTACGTTGTAGTTGGGTGGGGCGGGACGTGTGTGTGTGTGTGGTGGCTTTGTATACTCCAGGGGTTCTGGATGCGTATCTGCCTTGTTGAATGGAAAGGTGGAAGGTATTTTTGATGTGAAAGTAGATGTGTTTTGGGATGGATGATGTTATCTCAAGCATTCTTCACTCTTCTTTTATATGAATTTGAGATTGATGAAAAGTTATCGTTTGAAGCATACCATGGTCCTGCGACAAAAGAGGGTGGAGACAAAGTAAGACCAAGACCACTGACGGTCAACCCAAACATCACCCACACAAGAAGATATTCGCCGTTCGATCAAGTCAGCGTCCTTGCGATCCTCATTCTCAAGCTGGTACGACAATTCACCCTACCCGCGCCCCACACAACCAACAACAACACGACACATGCAGTTAAAAAAATAGTATTCCACTTCTTAATCCCACTCTTCTTCCCATCCATCTCTTACTGTATCCGACTAAAGAAGACTGATATCTCGCTTTTGACTTTTCCACGATGGGAAACCAAGTTGCATGCGTGCAACCTACCAAACATATGCTAAGCTAACAAGAAAAACGCCGGTACCGACCCGACCCAAGAATATACACAACGAATGAAGTTACACGGGAATCAAACAAACTCTGACAAAGAGGGAACATGTCTTAACGACCCGATCGCTCCTTGGTTTGCTTTCTGCGGTCCTTGATAGTTTCTGCGATTACGTTAGCATTCGTCATCATAAAATTTGACCTATAAAACTCACTCTCGTCGTAAATCATAAACTCGTGCAGCGCACTTCCAGCCGGTACCATAGGCAGTACAGGCACCTTCTGATCAGTAACAACCTCCAGCAGAGCTGGGCCATCGCTCTCCAACAGCCACTTGAGGCTGTCCTCGAGCTCCTCAGGCTTGATGCAGCGCTTAGCCTGAACACCCATGGCATCACCGAGCTTGACGAAATCAGCGTTGCGCTGATGGGTATGTGCGAAGCGGTCGGTGTAGAAGAGGGTTTGCCATTGTGTGACCATGCCCTGCTCCTCATTGTTGAGAATGATGATCTTGACGCCAATGTTGAACTCGGCGGCAGTTGAGAGTTCTGTCAGGGTCATGCTGAAGGAGGAGTCGCCGTCAATGTCGATGACGGTGCATTCTGGGCGCGCGACCTTGGCGCCGATGGCGGCGGGGAGACCGTAGCCCATGGTTCCTAGACCACCGGATGTGATCATGGTGCGTGGGTATCGCCAGCGGTAGTGCTGGGCGCACCACATTTGATGTTGGCCGACACCGGTGGTGAGAATGGTCTCCTCCTTGCGGTGGGCTGTGAGATCAGAGAGCTTCTCCATGACGGTCTGGGGCTTGATAAGGCCGTTCTCGCCCTCCTTGTCGTAGGCCCATGGGAAACGCTCCTTCCAGGCGGCGATCTGTCCGAGCCACTCCGGTCTCTCGGGAACTTCATTGACGAGAGGTAGAAGCTGCTTCAGGTTCGTGCCGAGGTCACCCTCGACGGCCTCAGTCGCCTGCACGACCTTGTTGATGTTCTTGGGCATGATCTCGAAGTGGATGATACCACCACGACCCTCAGCCGCTGCTGCCTTTGCCGCGGGCGCGAACTTGGAGATGGCACCAGTGATACGGTCATCGAAGCGAGCACCGAGAGCGAGGATCAAATCGGCTTCCTGCATGGCCATGTTGGCGTACGCTGAGCCGTGCATACCGAGCATGTGGAGGGACTTGGGCTCAAGCTCGTCGTATCCTCCCAGACCTTGCAGAGTGGTGGTCACGGGAATGTTGACCTTGTCGGAGAGCTCCTTCAGGAGCTGGGGTCCGTTCTCGGTCTGGAGGATACCCTGTCCAGCGTAGATAACAGGCTTCTTCGCCATGTTGATCAAGTCGGCGGATCGACGGATGGAGTGGTCCAGCTGCTGCTTGCTAAGCTCGCGCGCGGCGATGGTCGCAGCACTGACAGTTGTGGGGAGGGTGCTGCTCATGGGAATAGCTCTCTGGAGAACACTGGCAGTAACATCCTTGGGCAAGTCAACGAGAACGGGTCCCGGGCGTCCGCTAGTCGCAATCTCGAAAGCCTCGTTGATTCTCCGCGGGAGTTCCGCAACGTTCTTGACGAGGACATTCCACTTTGTGCACGGCCTCGTAATGCCGACCATGTCAGCTTCCTGGAAAGCATCGGATCCAATTGCGCTGGTAACGACCTGACCACAGAAGACAACCAGGGGTGTTCCGTCCATGAGCGCATCCTGCATGGGTGTGACGACGTTGGTGGCACCGGGTCCAGAGGTAACGAGCACAACACCGGGCTTTCCACTCGCGCGGGCGTAACCCTCTGCCATGTGGCCGGCACCTTGTTCATGTCGTGGGAGAATGAAGTCGAAGTGTTTTGACTGGTAGATCGCATCGAAGACGGGAAGAATCGCACCACCGGGGTAGCCGACTGAGAGGTGTTAGTGTTCAGTACTTGAAGTTTGGTGCACGCAATTCATGTAAGCATGTAAGATGTGTCATACAGATGTGCTTGACGCCCTGGCGGAGCATCATCTCGTGGAAGATTTCTCCACCGGTCATGCCAACGAACGAGTGGTCCATTGCAGGTGAGCGGTACGGCTTCAGCGGCTGGACATCCTTGTGGTCCTCACGATTGAAGGCGGGCGACGGTCTCGAGCGCGGTTGTGTTTGTGGGGCCGCCGCCTGGGTGCTCTGAGGTCGCTTCGCATCTTCCTGGGTGATTTTACTCGAGACGGCCTGCGCGGGTCTGCGGAAGGGTGAGACGGCGAGTCGCTGTGTGGAGGTGGAAAAGTTGCGGTTGCCCTTGAGAGCATTTACAGCTCGTGTGCGTGACTGCTGCATGGCGATTATGACGTCCACTCAGGACGAAGTATTAATAACGCACAGAGGGGAGATTCAGCAAAAGCAAGGGCGACGTGGGAGAGAGAGTGGGAGGAAAGACGAAGCTGACGGACGGTTTTGAGTCAATTGGCCGTTCGCCTTTGAGTCTTCGTCGGGCCCAGGTTCGTGGCGCATATGAAAAGTTAGTGGAGTCGTTTGGCCCCGGTGGCAGGGGTCTTGATTGGGCGATCCCCGCAATTCGAAAGAGTGCTGCCGAACATCGGAGCCCTGTGACAGCCGTCTTAGTCGGTGGGAACACCATAGACACGATGCAAGTTCCCCCTGGACGAGGCCATGGCCGCGCTGCCTCGGGCGACGAGCGACGACGAAGTGCGTTGATTGCTCTTCACGTGCGACATGGGGTGACTAATCGAGAGAACAGCCGCCCTGACGCGCCGTACGACCAAAGGTCCACTCGACGCCGATGACATCGTTATAGACGAGTATGCGCCCAGTCATTCAGCCGGCAGATAATACGGATACAAGACACGCGCTTACACAATGATGCAGCCCCCTCGCTGAGAGTACCGCCACCCTGCCTGCGCGCGTTCGGTCGCCAGCACGGCCTCAACCTTCCCCACAGCCGTCGTATGAGGGCCCAACCCGCGGCATCGACGACATCCCCCATAAGGACTTCAGCTTCCTACAAGACCCGCAGGCATATCACGTCCTGCCAGTCACCAATGTCCCGCCTCCGTTCCTCAATGCGCCGCATGCCCCGCCGATATCCTCGCCGATAGACACACTGCTCCTGTCAGGCCACTACCGTCTCGCCGCCATCGCCGCAGCGCGCAACCTCATCTCCGCTGCGCCAGGCGACCACGATACGCTACTCCACCTAATACACGTACGCCTAGCATGCCTCTGCCTACTCCAAGAGCACGCGCTCGCCGCGCAGGAATCCAAAGTTCTGGGTGACCTAAACAGCGCCTTCTACCGCCACCCCCTCACAAACGCCCATCTCGTACCCTGGGATCTCCGCCTCCTTGTCGTACGACTGGCAGCCCTCGGATACGGAGAATGGCGCAAGGGCATAATGGGGTACTACGAACTCGCACGCGAATGCAGGGAGAGTATCCTCAAAGCAGGCTCAGACGAGGATAAAGCGACCTGGCGGTCACGGCTACGGGACTGTGGTATTCGTGTTGCGAATGTACTCGTGGAAATGGGCGATTTTGAGGGCGCAGGAAGACATTTAGCAACTCTTGCTGCGGACGGTGATCAGACCAGGGAGATATCTCTGATGGAGACACTCGTTTGGCTCAGAGTCGGAGACATGGCATCAGCACGTCGTTGTCTTGCCCGCGCATCCTCCGCCTCAGCAGACGCCCTCGTAGACGGCACACTGAATGCGCTCATCCAGCTCGCCGACTCCGACTACGCCGCCGCCGCTGAATCATTCCAAGCCCTCCACGAAGAGTTCCCTGAGGATGCGATGGTAGCGCAGAATCTGGCTGTTTGTTTGCTTTACACGGGTCGGATATCGGATGCTAGGGACATACTCAGTCAGCTGGTCGACGATAGTTCGCCTTTCCACTCGCTGGTGTTGAACCTGAGTACGGTGTATGAGTTGTGTACGGAGAGGAATAGGGAGAAGAAATTGGGACTGGCGGAGAGATTGGCAGGACGGAGGGATGGTGGTGGAGTGGGTTGGGAGCGGAGTAACGTTGAGTTTAAGTTGTAGAACCAACGAACTTAAGAGGATGGCAGAGAAGTTAAAAATAAATCGGGGTATCTTGAATATGTCTGTGACTTCTCATCAACTAGCCGGTCTCCTCAAGGCCAGAATGTCGGACAACTTCACATTCCCTTTTCCACCCCAACCTGCAGCTCCTTGAGCTACCTCTGGTCGAACGCGAACATACCAGCCCCAAGCCCGCTTATCCAGGTCTTCTTTACTCAGCACTTTTGCCCATGACCTATACAGGACTTCCAGTGCGCCCAGTAAAAGCCCTAGATTACGCTCCTTCTCCGCTGCAATGGTAGCAGCTGTCCTCTTCCCCTTCGGTTTCGGTGCAGGCGCTCCCTCGACCTTGACGCCAACATCTCCATTTTCTTGCTTGATTAACTCCGCAGCGGGTGTTTCAAACGCTCTCATCAGGTACGCCCTCGCGCTCTGCGCAGTATAAATAGGAAGGTTACTCGAGCCGACCGTTGCCTTCTGTGCCTTCTTCAAAGCTTCGAGATCGACGCCCCAGAGCGCCGGTTCCCTTGCCTCCTCCCCGTTCTCCTCACCTCCCTCAGACTTTACAGTCTTCTGCGCCGCCTCATCTTCCCACTCGTAACCCCACCTCTTCATCACTCTAACCTCCCTCGTCATGATCCGTACCAGCGGCTGTCCCTCACCCCAGCCTTCTTCTTCGGCCGGCTTCCCCTTCTCTAGACCGATATTCACGGCTTTGGTCTTGCTGTTCATAGAGGTCACGGCTTGTGCTAGACTAAGACGACTGGAGATGGGTTGGCTTGGCATCGTGAATTTGAGTAGCGTCACTGCGAAAGCGAGGACGAGTGGTGCGCGATTCGTATAGACAACAGATGAGCTAATTGTGTCCTCATCTAACTCAGGTTCTGGTAGCGCAAGCGAAGCCTCGAGATCCGCGCCGTTCAAAGGCTGGCCATAGGTTTCCTTAGCTTTCTTCGACGCAGGCGCAGGTGTAGCAGAGGCAGCATCTGCGGTTCGTTTTTTAGACTGGCGTTTTGCGGCATTGAGGACAGAACGCGCGACTTTCTCGTCGGCGAAGATGGTTTTGAGGGTTTCGTGGGAGGATTTGGATATATCGGATGGACTGCGCGGTTGTCAGTAGGGAAATGACGCGGTGGTACGCTGTCACGTGCTTACGTGATGAGGTTCGCTGCTTGGAGGTCTTTGATTTTGGATAGAGCTTGAGCCAGAGGGACCTTGGCGTCTTGCGATAGGAAGCGCAGGAGCGATTGAACGTCTTGTGCCGAGGTCATGGTGATTTGTCTGGTTTCCGTAGTATCGTGGCCGTGGCATGACGTTGTTGGAGATTCCCGGGGCCGTGGGGAAGCCCTGGGCGTGACGCTAGTCTGGACCCTCACGCGCAAGCTTAACTTTCTGGTTGGCACTGCGCGCAACCTCACCACCACCTCATGCCGCAAACACCTCATGAAATCTTCCAACACGGCGATTAACTGATCACACGCCACCATGGCCTTCAAATTCTCCCTAGGCGCCGCGAAAGCCAACAAGGCGCAATTGAACGCCAAAGCGAAGGAGGAAGAGGAAGCGAAGGCGCGCGAGGAGAAGAATGCGCTCGACAAGGTCATGGCCGATTTCGAGGAGGAGCATGGAGCGGAAAAGAGTATACTGGGCGAGGTTGAGCAGCAGGAAGAGGATGATGTCTTTGTTCCGACAGGAAGCAAGAGACATTTCACAGGCAGGCAGCGGACGATGAAGAGCGGGCCCGGCACCCTCGAAACGGAGCCTCTCGATGGCTACAACAGACCAGGCGCACCGCCAGGACGTCTTGCGCCACAAATACAATCACGATTCGGAGGAGCAGTACCTACAGGTCCAGCCGCACTCGATGGCCCGAAGCAGACGGAGAACTTCTACACCACCGTCGTAGCGAAAGCGTCGAACCTCCCGCCCGAAATAGACCCGCGACGCGTCGAAGAGCTGTTCGCCGATTTCCCCTCACTCAAGATCGCGCGGGTCGACAGAATACCACAAGGCTCGAGGGTGGAGGGCAGGCCTTCAGCGACGATGAACATCACCTTTGACAAGGATGCCAACGCGAGGGACCTCGACGCTGCGATGAACAAACTTAACGATAAGAAGTATCTGGGCAAAGGCTACTATCTACATCTGGACAGATATCTGGGCAGTCGCACAGCAGACACAACACAACAGACAAAGGCATTCGGCGCACGGTGGCAGGCACCCGAGCTACCCAAGGGCTTTGCGCCGCCACCAGATCTTGGTGGAGGGGGAGGAGGTAGAGGGCCGCGCGAGAATGCGGAGGATCTCATCATCACTGCGAACCAGCCTCCCGATCTCGCGACACTCAGATTGGTACATCAGACTATTGAAGGCGTCATTCTTGGTGGTGTAGAGTTCGAAGCGGCCTTGATGAACGAGCCGCAAGTACAAGAAGAGGAGCGCTTCGCATGGCTCTACGATCAGAAGCACCCCGTCAACCGGTACTACCGTTGGCGTCTCCACCAAATCGTCACCAACAGCACCGATTCCGAAATCTTTGCTGGGCAGGGCGCCTGGAAAGGCCCCGTCGATCCGCTCCGGCACGAGTTTGTCGACCACGTTGGCGCTTTCGAATCGGACGACGAGAGTCTAGATAGCGATGACGAGGAGGAGAAGGAGAAGCCAATATTCAAGCCCCTACCAGTTGGCGACAACTATCCCGGCCGCGTGGACAACGGACACGGCATCATGAACCCCAGATCACGAGCGATGCTCCTGTGGATGATCAACGCAATCCCACCCGGCAGCATCGTCTACGACGACCTCGCCGCCATCTCAACTTTTGCCGTCGAACACGCAGCCCAGGGCATGGACGAAGTAACCAGCATCCTCGTCTCCAACATCATCAACCCCTTCCAACTCACCGACGCCAACACACGGAATCGTGCCGGCGACGCGGCAGGTAAAGACGACATCCGGCGTCCGGACCTCCGCCAAGTAACCCTAAACGCCCTGCGCATCGTCTCCGACGTCCTGCTCGTCACTGCCAAAGAATCGGGCGTCTCCTACAAATACCGGCTAGCCATCGGAACGGAGCTTGTCGAACGCAAAGTCTTTGAACACTTGGAGCAGTTGCCTGCGAGGCTGGAGATGGGGCGGATGACTGAGAGGACGTATAGGGAGGATATTAATGCGATTTTGGCGGTGTGGACGGGGGATCATTTGTTTGATGAGAAGACGTTGAAGGAGTTGGATGATGCGTTTAATAGGAGGGAGAGGGAGAGGGAGGAGGGGGAGGTGCAGAGAAGGGCGGCGGAGAAGAGGAGGAGGAAGGGGGTGGTTGTTAGGAAACCTTTTAATCCTGAGGCGAAAGAGGAGGATGAGCAGGGTATGGATCTTGATGAGGATGCTAAGGATGGGGCGAGATCGCCTTCTCCTACTGCGAGTCAGATGGGGGAACCGGAGCCTGAGCGACCTGTTGCTGACGCGGAGGCTGAGGCTGTGGTCAAAGATGAAGTCGTCGTCCCGGAGGTTGTGGTGCCTGCAGATCCGCCAAAGGTCGTTGAGATTCCGGGGGAGACGGCTGTGGCGAGGGCAAGGCGGTTAAGACCGAAGGCTGAGGATATGTTTGCTTTGGATGAGGAGGATTAGGAATCTGATTGTTCTGCATCATGTCTAGAGCAGACGAGATCTCCAATCTGGTCGTCGAAAAGAACTAAAGTATGTATGATACCCTAGATAGACAGAAGTGGAGACATCGGCGAGTAAAGAGCGGTGATGAGGAATTCGAATCCCGACCGCTGTCCTTGAAAATCTCAGATAGTACGAGCGGTTGACCCCACATACTGATGGCTCATGGCATCGAGATGTATGGGCGACGCGTGATGGAGAATGTTGAGTCGTCTGTACACATGGAATCTGAACGGATATCTGCCAGGGCTCCCTTCAACTGGGAAGGCACGAACAGGCAGGCGCCATGCCGCTAGTCATGACCCCACGTTCGATCGACGACAGGCACGCCCCTTGATTCGATCCCCTGCCCAAACGCATGGTCGCAGCATATCTTTAACGTGATATTGACAGATACATCCGTAAAAGATAGCAGCTCTTTCGCCAAGGTTATTGTTAGCTCTCTTTACTAAAAACTAGTACACTATAAAAGGTAACTATAGGTTATATTACTACTACAGCCTAGCCTAAGTAAAGTATAAGTAGCTAAAATTTTTACCTAGATATCTTTACTTATACAAACTACTATAAATATAGCTACTATAGTATATTAAAATTAGCTCTCTTACATAAACTTAGACTAACTTAAGTAGAACTTACTTTATAACTACTATATAATAGCGTAAATTATATAAGCTAAGGCTAAGCCTTAATACACTTACTATAATAATGTAGTTTACTAGTGCTACTATATAAGCTAAGAACTTAATTTTAAATAATTTAATAGAACCTAAATAAGACGCCTTTATACTACTAGCTCTACTATTAATTACTTTATATAACTCTTTTATATAGATATAGTTATACGTAATTTAATAGCGCTACTATTTATGCTAGAGAATACTTAAAGGGCGTTATAGGCGTAAGAGTAAAATAAAAGAATAATTATATATATTTAAGAAATAGAATTCTATAAAGAGGCTTATAAGTAAGTTAGAGGTAAGAGGGGGCTATTAGACGCTTGTAGATAGATTTAATTAATAACCTTAGCCCTAGCTTCGCTCGAAATGAAGTTCGCAGAAAACATCAGGTGCACGCGTGATTGGCTCGTGACTTGGGTGCTCGACTTGTGGACCCCAACATCGTGGAGCGCCCTACGGAAGCTCTCCGCCTAAACCAACAACACAGACCTTCAGAGTCGCTACCTCACACCGCCTCCTAGCCCATCTTCGCCTACTTACTCGCGCAGCTGCCCCTCCGGCGGCCGCTCTATTCGCAGGGATATTTTCTCCCTCCCAACTCTGCCAAGACTACTGTGTTAGGGCTCTTCCGCTGCCATCTCCGCAGCTTCGCAGTCGTCCTCACCACGCCTAATCCAAAATGCCGACCTTTCTAGGCCTCGCCGTCAGCATTCATGCCGACAGTAACCCGCTCCCAGAATACTCGATACAGAAGCAATCTAAACATCACCGTATCACCTCGTACATCCCTGTCCCTCCCGCAAAGATACCGCCGGGCGCTACCAAGCCTGAGCAGTCTTCTTTCGCGATATCGATCACTCTGCTCACCCCAGGTCTTCACGTGCCCTACTCGACGCCCAAGCCAACTGACGATGACCCCAACCCGAAAGCGAAGATTGTCGGGGGCCTCCCAGGTCAAACCGGAGAGCGGGGCAAGTACGGTCCCACGATAGCCCCGTACAAGCCCTTGACCACCTCGCCGAACGAGACAATCGCTGCATACATATACTTTGACGGCCGGGCAAAGGAGGAAGTAGCGACACTGCTGCGACGCGGCGAAGAGACGTGGGTCAACTCACGGTGGGTCAGCGTGCCAGAGTCAGAAGGCGGGGGTCTCGCAGAGCGCGAGTTCCTCTTCCGCGAGGTCGGTCTCGAGAGATGGCTCAACGGTCTGGATCTCGAGGGCAAGGACAAGGACGTGGCCGCCAAGATTGAGCGGAGAAAGCAGCGCCTGGAAAAGAAGCGGGCAAAGCGGAGAGAGGCCATGGACAGCAGCGACGAGGACAAGAAGACCTCCGGCAACGGTGTACTGCGCTACAGCGAAAGCAAGGACGCGCCTGTCGAGACGCTTTCCGGCAACGACGAGTTCTTCACCACCGACTCCGATTCGGACGACGAGCCCCCCATGCCCGAGGCAGCCGGACAAATCAAGGTCGCTCTGTTCCGCGTCCTGGCGTCTGGAGAGATCAAGCGCGGCGAGTACTCACCCCAGTTCGACGCACACGATGACGACGAGCAAAACGGAGGTGGAGAGGGCGAGGACGTTGACCACACAACGAGTTTCGCAAAGCCCAAGACGCTGGACCCCAAGTCTATCAGCACTCAGACTGTGACTGGAATAGATCCCCCGGACAAGCCCTACGCCGTCTTTACCTTTTTGTACCGCGGAGAGCGTAAGTTTACAGCAAGGGATACAAGATTTTCGCTAACCAATGACAGGTCAACTGCGGAAGATGGGTATTCTGAACACCAAGGAGACGCCCAAGATCACCTCACCACAGACCAAGCGGAAATCCGGCGCACTCGACTTTGGCAGCCTGAAGCCTCTGAACGCGGCCGCTGGAACAAAGAACTTTGGAGGTTACCGAGAGACTTCGCCCAAGTCCAAGAAGAAGACGGAGGACGCCATGGACAGCGACGCGGATGACGAGGACGATGTCAAAGTGGAGGATGCGGATGATGACAAGGAAGTTCTCGACAAGGGCTTGTTGTCACCTGAGGACGCTCACAGACAGGGCGAGCTCGCAGAGGGTGTGCGCAAGATCAAGGTATGTGGATTGTTAGCGTTTGGGATTCGTCTACTAACACATCACAGTTGAAGCGTCAACATTCCGCAGAACCTCTCGGCCGCCCCGCAGGACCTTCCCACTCCGACTCGACAGGATCTCCTCTTTCCGGTACACCAGCACCAGAAAACGCGTCGACAGGAGAGGCGTCATCCTCAGCCGCCGCGAACACCTCCGGAGAGCCCAGCACAAACTCGATCGCTTCACCCTACAAGAAGCAGCGCGCTTCATTACCCGGCTTCGACGACAACGTGCGCAAGAGCCTGGGCCAAGCCCTGATGGACGCCCACAACCAAGGCCGAGCCAACTCGGACGGAAACATCCCCACCATCGAAACCAAGATGGAAGAGGACGAGGAGTTGTGACACAAGAACATCCGTTTCCAACGCGCATTCGAATGAGGTAGTTTCTCATCGTGTAGCAAATCACACATTTTGTTTGCATTATAACGGTCAACCACGAGTCGAATTCCAATACCACGATGTCACCCAAAACCCTTAATACCACGCGGACACCACAGTCGGGCATTACCTTTCAGGCGCAAAAATTGGCAAACGGAATCCTGCGAAAGTCAAGGGTTTGGAGGGGGCTTTGGATAACAACTTGGCTCGGTGCCTTCTTTGGCTCTGGTTGATTAGGTGGATTCTGTACATGATCATGTTTCGTATGTTTCTTTTTGCGGTGGGGCTTCGGCACGAATGGCAAGATGGGTCGGTGGTATGGATGGGGTATGATGGTTTGGTGGACAAGATGCGGACTTTAGTGTCTTCCATCTCTGGCGGATTGGTGGTTGGAGGTTGGATTGTCGACTGACATGGAATGAACTGCAATGAGACGTATGATACAATAGATGGTATTTGCTGATGTGATGGGTGTGTGGATACAGAGTGAGGAAAAGTGATGTTTGAGTGTTGCAAAGGATTGATGGACTTGTAATCGGCTGTTGGATATCTAAATTTACCAAGCAGCGCCATTCAAATTACGTCGGGCTCCGCGATCGACCCTTCTTCTGCCCTGGCGATCCATGTTCAGGGACCTCCTCCTTTATATAGACATATCGCACAGGCGATACTTCACGCCTTTCAGATACTTGACGTGGCCATGCACACAAATCGAGCAAGGAGCCCACTTGTGGTACCAACTTCTTCTCACTGATTACCTCACCCCCTTCTCCAATCTCCTCGCCCTTATCCTCTATCTTCAGCCCGTAGCCTTGGCCGCCCAATGAATTTGGATCTCTCTGTAGGAGTACACTCGACCAGCCTGCGTCTTGCGCGCCGAACACGTCTTTCTGAAGGTCGTCACCTACGTAGATTTTCTCAAACGAGGAAACGGGTGGTGGAGTATCGGAGCTGGAACTCAGAGAGTCGTTTAGGGTAGCCGCCAGCATCTCTTCCGCCGCCGCAAAAATCCTTCCATCGGGTTTCTCGACTCCGACGTCGTAGGATAGGACTGTGAAATCAATGTCGTCTTCTTTTTCCGCCTCCTTCCTCTTCGTCTTCTTCTTCGATGGCTCTGATGTTGTGGTATCTAGAGGACTGGCAGCCACACCACTGTAACGCCGCGGACTGATATTGAGATCAAAGGAAGATAATATCCCTGGGACGCGGTTGTCTGAGTTTGTGATTATGCCTACTATGGTTTTGTCCCAGGGCCAGAGTCCATGAGCAGCGCCGTGACGTATCCTGTGCGCTTTCATATGCCGTACCATGTGGAAGAAGGGGAGGACGTCGGGGTACAGTGTATACCCCTTACGTGACGAGTAGGTGTGAAGGAGTTCTGGGACGAGGTACTTGGGCAAGGTTTGGTTTGGAGCGAGGAAAGGCGTGAAGGTTTCTTTTATTACTTTGGCCCACCATTTTTCCGCACCCATGCCTGTTGCCCGGCCATAGTTTGGGTGCTCTGATGATAGTTGTTTGAATGCGGATTTGAAGGATGAGGATACTTGGGTGGCGGGTTCGGGCGTGTTTATGACGATGCCGTGCTTGAGGGCGGCTTCGGCGTAAGTTATTGGGATGGGTTTCGTGGGTGTGAAGAGGGTGCCGAAGGCGTCGAGACAGAGGAAGAGGTTTTTCCGCTGGGGTGTGGGTGACATGGTGAGTGGGCATCCGGCGTATCGACCGGCATTACCCTACAAATCCGATAGCACCGATCCAATATCCTGCTAATTGGCGCGGGAATGTCGATATCACATTACATCGACGTGTAAGGCCAACCAAACTCGGGCCATGTCGTTGCGGAAGGAGATGGTCCAAAGAGGCTAGTCCAGGGTCCGCCGACAGCCCCGAGCTACTTGCGGACACGATCACCTCCGCGAATCCTCAACTCCCCCAACGTCAACCCTCACCTGCAGTCGCTCATTCACCCAATTCCGCAGACACACAACTCACACACGCAATTGCAAAGATGGCGAATACCAACAAGTACTCGGTGCTCCTCCCCACCTACAACGAGCGTCGCAATCTGCCCATAATAACATGGCTGCTGGCCAAGACGTTCGAGGAGAAGTACGTCGCAACACCCACCCCCTCATAACGCAAATGGCACAACTAACAACACGTCTACAGCAAACTCGACTGGGAACTCATCATCATCGACGACGGCTCCCCCGACGGCACCCAAGAAATCGCCGCCCAGCTCCAAAAAGCCTACACACCCTCACGCATCCAAATCCGCGCGCGCGCCGGTAAACTCGGCCTCGGCACCGCCTACGTCCACGGCCTGCAATTCGCAACCGGAAACTTCGTCATCATCATGGACGCGGATTTCAGCCACCACCCCAAGTTCATCGCGCCCATGATCGCTTTGCAAAAGACCAAGAACTACGATATCGTGACCGGAACGCGGTATGCAGGCGACGGCGGCGTGTTTGGCTGGGATCTCAAGCGCAAGTTTGTGTCGAGGGGGGCGAATCTGTTTGCGGACACGGTGCTCAGGCCGGGTGTGAGTGATCTTACGGGCAGCTTTAGGTTGTATAAGAAGGAGGTGCTGCAGAAGGTTATTAGGCAGACGGAGAGTAAGGGGTATACGTTTCAGATGGAGATGATGGTTAGGGCCAAGGCGATGGGATGCACCGTTGCCGAGGTGCCTATCTCTTTCGTTGACAGGTTGTATGGCGAGAGCAAGCTTGGTGGTGACGAGATCGTTGAGTATGCGAAGGGTGTGCTGGCGCTGTGGATGAAGGTTTAGACGGGACGTGTGGGGTGTTGGTGGCCGGCAAGGATGGCTGGCCGTGACGATATCTTGGGCAGGTAAGGAGATGGTACATTTGATCTTTCTCCGCCTTGTCTGATTAGTATGTTTAACTCTTAATCTTCTCACCAGCGTCTTCGCGCACGTGTTGCTTCCAGTCGCGACTGCCACTACCTATTTCGTACGCCAAGCGGCGCTAGAGTCCGTTGCTCTTGCCAGAGCTGCCTTCACTTTCATCCTCGTCCTCACTTTGACTTTGACAGTCTCTCAATCGCTCAATCACTACATCCCGATTCCAATCTCGCCCCGAGATTGCGCACCTCACACAGAAGCGAAACGATCTCTCATTACAGCTCTGAAGTACACTATCACATTGTACAAGGAAAACACTAAGTAGGTCTGCAGCCTACATTAAAGTTGAAAACGTGCAAAGTACGCGAGCTGACTTTAACGCAGACTCTACCGCGTTCGGCGTCTTCTTCGTGTGAAGTACTGTCACGATGTCGACGCAGGATGACTCCAAGCCCTTTCGCTTCATGGACCTGCCGTCAGAGTTGCGCCTCATGATCTACAAACGCCTACCCCGTCAGATCAAGCATACCGAGGTTCGCTACGTAGGCGCAGCAGCGTGGCCCTTTCAGGACAAGAGCGTGGATTCAACAGTAATCTTGATCACACGGCACCTCCCAGTGGCTATCTTGAGGATAAGCCGCCAGGTCTATGCCGAGGCGCACGGTATCGTCACAGCTCTGGTTCAAACCTTTGTGACAGAGTCGCACCCGCGGGCCATAGGCCGTGAGGACCATGCTGAAGCGCTGAGCGTACTCAAATTCTTGATTGTGACTGAGCGTGAGGCGCTTCTGGTGGGTCGTCTCTTACATTACCATGCTTTGAAGTTCAACACTGACGCAACTTCAGACTTGCCGACCTTACCATGTGAGCGACGTCATTCAGCGACACCCAGACCTTGTCTCCCATCCATGGGATACCAGACGGCCGCGCGACATTGCAGTCTTCCTTGGCCAGACTACATTAGCGAAAACGCCAGACACCGGGATCTGGGTCGCCAAAATCGCTACAGTAGACTTCGAGAAGCAGGAGAACGTGATGGACACGCTGCGTACGCAGCATTCCCGGAGCATCGCCCCTGGACCCCTACCAACTCCTCCGAGCGTATTAGAGTTTTTTCGACGGGAATATGAGTCTGGTCTCGGCGTTCTCGTTGGTGGAAGCTTCAAGGGTATCCTCGCATACGCTCCCAACGAAGAGTACAAAGTCACAGCAAAGAACGTCCCTGTCAAACTCAACTTAGACAAGTTCGATTTGGATGGGACCTGGACCCTGGAGACTTGTATGAGCCAGGATGACTGGATTGGACATTGGGTGCCTTCTTCGTGAGGAGTACCCATATGTCATCCAAAGGGAGGGATTGAATGCCCGTCCATAAAGAACGATGGAAGTAAAAAGCCCAGGAGTCCATATTGCGTTGAAAGTTCGCAATCTTTTGTGTGCGAAACCATGTAGACTGCAGGGTGTCTAGCTCTTTCCTTTGATAGGGTGCTCACATGCTAGTCGAAGTACCTTCCAAAAGGGCCGATCAATACTGTTATCCGGATTCCGCTCTCACGTATCTCGCAATCGTTACATGAATGAGGCAATTGTCACGTGATCATCTCGCCTTTCACGCCTTCTCGACAGGCATTAGTATCAACCTTCGCACCTTAGGCTGACTAGCTGCATCTCGCTATACAACTGCTTCCGGCGATCCGTAGCAGACTTTCTGTCTATTCGTCCATATTTCGCCAGTCACCTTACCCATACTCTGGCGTCGTTCTTTCCGGCTTACCCGTGGTCTTTGTGACGGCACGGTAATGATTAGTGAACCCATCCGATAGGGTTTCTCTTATCGCCATACCCATCCAGACCTTATTACTCTACTATTGACACCGGCATATATGATCTTGATGCTAATTCACAATTGAATTCATCTATTCTAGGACATCACAGCTTGCAGCCGCTGGCGTAGTGAGTACAGTCAGTGCCTTGATCTCTTCCAATATCAGTCCTTGCATACGATCACTTGTTTCTATGAGCAACCCATACATCATCTCAGCCACCGACATGTCGATCGACCAACAAAATCCTTTCCCGTTTACCAATCTTCCCGTCGAACTGCGCCTAATGATCTACGAGCGGCTGCCACGCCAGATCAAACACACCGTGGTCTCAATAGACGGAGAAGTGACTGTCCTGGTCACAAGACATCTGCCGACTGCCATACTACGTACGAGCAAGCAAATTCATCTCGAAGCTCACGCCATCGTAAACAAGCTGGTCCGACATTTCGTCGAAGAGTCACCAACAAAGCTCATCGAGCTCGGCAAAGCTGGAACAAAGATGAGACAGAGGAAGGTACTCGACTATCTCATGTCACAAATCCCCCGCGAACGCATAGCCGTCGAAGACGACGAGAAGTCCGACATCCAAGCCATTTCCCAGAGACTACCCAAGTCCAGTGGACTTCGACCTGCCGATCCCGCCAAGGCATCCAACATCGCTCGCTTCTTACATCAAGCTGCTAGAGCTAGATACCGTCCCGGTGACGACCGTTTCCACGACGCAGCCGGCGGGCTGTGGAACAACACTGTCGTAACCGTGTTCGTCACCCGCACATTTTATAACAACGAAGAAGAGTTCCAATGCTTCGCCGAGATCAACCACAGACACATTCGACATATGTATCATCATGGGGAGATGCCGCACTTTCCACATGATATATGGATCCGAGATGGTGGTATTGTACAGGTCGAAGGAGATGTTTCTCTGGAGAGGGCGATTGACAGGGTTCCGATGTTATCTCAGGATGGCTATGACGATTGGGGGAATGATACGGGTGTGGGGGATTCGTGGGGGCCGGCTATGAGGAGGGAGGACTGGGATGGGGAGTGGCTTCCTTCGTAGGCAAGTCGTGAGAGAGGCATGGATGTTTGTACTGCCGTTTGATAGCAGTTTGTGCGGACTACGTCCCTCCATATCATAAGTCAAATATCCTTGATAACCCAATATAAACATGCTGTTCCGACCGAATTGCATTCCCAAAGACCATGTTCCAGCCTTGCTTCCAATCCCACTTTTCCTTCCCAAACTCCCAAACCCCTAACCATTCTTCTAACCCTCCCTCACACTAACCCCCTTCTTCATGACCAACAACTTCGTCTTCGTCGGCTCCGCAAACTTCTCCTCCTCCTCCAGCACCGGAATCGCCGCATCGCTATGCATAAACGCAATAAACTGCTGCAAATGCAATTCATCCTCAAACGCCATGGTACCCATGCAATCCCAGTCCATCCCGTCATCAACCCCAATCAACACCCGCGGAATGCCGATTGGACATTCCTCGTCGTCAACATGGTAGTGCCGCGTCCACGACAACGGATGCACTTTCCCCGCGATCTTTTTGAGCAAAGGTGCGTATTTTTCCTCATTGTGCTGGTAGAATTCTGCGCGTGAAACACCTTCTTTCCGTGTCGCGACTGTGGTGAGGATGTAGGGGTAAGCACTCGTTTTCGTCATTGTAGTTCCCGGCATTTTGGTTCTGTGGATTCTCCGGTTGTTCAGGGTATGCGATGGGGATGGGGTAGGCGGGCGGAGCTATGTCGGCGGTGTAGAGATATGCGGCCGATGATTGGCATGGAATAAGCAATCGCAGGACCCGGAAGGATTGTGAAGGATTCGCAAAAGCAAAGAAGACGGAACGCTCTCGGGGGGAATAAAGGCATACGCTGATATGAGCAAACGGGAAGGAACGAAACGCCAAACCGAAATTTCAGGGCCAGGAAAACAGGAGAACGGATGGCTTCCGTATGCAGGCTGGGCCCGTCAGACCGTGGTGTGCCGGTGTCAGCTAATGGGCAGTCTTGTACCCCTGTATTTTATTGGTCCCCACTTCCCGCTCGGTTACCACGAGGGCCGATCGCTGGAGACAGTGCGCTAGCTGGGTCTGGACTACTGACGAAGCGAAGTGTCGAGCCTTTCCTCAACCTTCTTAACCTTGATACCTGCTGCCTTTTTTGGTGATGCCGCCGATTCAGTTGCGACATGTCAATGCCGTTGTGGTGTTTAGTCTTGCGCCTGTTATCTCGTTTGTACCGGGGAGGACCCACGAGCGTCATCGGGATACCCAGGTATGACGTTAGGCCTCCAGACACCGCTAGTTTCATGTGCCGATGGCTGCTTTGGGAGTTGAATGTCATTGTCAGAGCTGGATGTGTTGATCAAGCGGAAGTTCGCGGAAGTGGTGAGAGGTACTTCCTTAGGTCCGCGGAGTCTTTCGGTATGTTGTGTTGATCGTCGCTGCCAGAATTGACAAAGTTGTGCAACAGCTGTCATCTAGTACTAATGCGTCACAGCGCCGTGAGCGAACTCATCTCTAGAAGTCAAACTATTGCATCGCGCGTTGTCCGTCAGCTCTTGGCCCGCTGTAGCGTCCACATAGGTACTCGTTCTGTTTCCTTGCGCTTGTGCATCGGCGCGGACCGTCACTACTTCACCCCGCATGTGCGTGGTCAAGTTCGTGGCCGTCATGACTCCACTGAGGCTTCACATCTATGTCGATGTTTGGAAAGGCTTTGGGAAAGTGTCTCATTCAAGCGCATTGATTTTAACATAACTAGAGCGAAGGTTAAGGCCAATCCCCTGACCCATATTCTACTTGCGAGTTCTGATCTCGAGAGCCCTCCTCTCGCCCGTGGGAGTATTTTCTCCCAATCCCCTACTGAGATCCCACCTTTTATCGTCCCAAAGATACCGGAAGACCCCCAGTGTATGTGTCTTGATGACAGTCATGAACTCTTCAATGAGCACAGCTTCACCATCTGCACCCATCCCGCTTGGAGAAGGCCCAAACACAAACGCCGGTACACCGCGATAGCGATAAAACTTACAGTCCGTACCACCCAGGCCGACGATCTGTACCGGCTCCCTCCCAGTAACGTCTCGCGCAACATCGGCCATGTACCCAGAAAGCGGATGATTGTACTCGGATAAGCTTGCTGGGTTGCTGGCTGCTTCTTGCACGGAGTATGATACGCCAGGGGACGACAGGAGTAAGTCGTCAATCTCAACGAGTACCGCCTCAGCCTCGAGCCCGATCGGCAGGCGGATGTCGGCTTCAAAGACGCACTTTGAAGGGATGACGTTGACTTTGACGCCGCCGTTGATGGTGCCGATGTTCAAAGTGGGTGAGAACATATTCGCTGCTGCCCCAGCGCCCATGATCTCATCAGTAACGGCGTGCGCTGTTTTGGAGCGAAGATAAGCCTTGAGTTGGTGCGGGATCTTTACGGGTATCGACTCGACCACGCGCTTCAGGGTTGTTATCAAGGAGCAAGCGTGTACGATGGCTCCACAGCCGTTGTGTGTGTACGCTCCGTTACCGCCTTGAGTGTTGACTGTGAAGGTCAAGCGCAGAGTTCCTAAGATTCTGGGTTAGTATAGATCTTCAAAGCTGTTTATGGGTAGATGACATCTACCCTTCTCGCCGAACCGGATGGACTGTAGACCACCAGGCTCGCCGTTGACAACACAATCGCCCAGCCAAGGTGAATTGTCACCACAGTGATCAAGTAGATACTTGGTCCCCCATTCGCCTCCCGTCTCTTCGTCCGAGACCATGGTCAAAGCGACGCTTCCGATGAGATGCGAAGCTCGCTTCTTGAGCAACGTGAATGCGATGATGGAAGCTGCAGTCCCTGCCTTCATGTCGACAGACCCGAGACCATGTATCGAAGTGCCATCATTATGTCCAGAGTATGGCGGGTAACGCCAACCCTCAAGGTTATTGACCGGGAAAGTATCCATGTGGCCGTTGAAGACGACGCGAGGACCGTCCTGCAAGCGGCCCTCGAAATCCGAAACCACGTTAGGCATATGAGCCATCGGGGCAACGATATCTGCATAGATGTTGTTGGCTGAAAGGAATTTCGTGACGACATCTGCAGCCACTCGGGTATCGCCTGGTGGGTTGGGGCTTGCTGCTCGGACAAGCCTTTGCAGAAAGTGTATGTACTTGTCCTTGTTTGCTTCGATTTCGCAGAGTATGAGGCTCTCGTGGTATTGTCTAGCTGGAGCCATCTTGACAAGAGAAGAACGTTTTGCTGTGAGTAGCTGAAGAAAGATGATGTTGAGCTGGTGAAGAGATGGAGGCTTTACGTTATCAGGGAGTGCAGGCTTTTCTTCGCGGAACTGGTCGACTACGGAGATGACGAAATTTCAAGTTTAATTGTTGAAGACGCCCGTGGTAGTATATCGGCGCATGCCATAGATGGGCACACGAAACATATGCGCGTCGCATCACTGGCTGCCCGGTGTTCGGTACCGTACATCAGCGAGCGCTTCATCCATGTTCAGTTCGATTCGCTTACAATCCGGAGTACACCGATAGAGATTTCTGCGGGTACAATCGTGCTTGATGACTGGGTGGGCTGGCTACATCAAGAGGTTGGTTGCGCATTTGAGACTTTTGTGTGGTTCGTAGTCCGCTGTTTAGTCCGGACTTTCCGAATGTCGGATCAACCAACATTGCTCACAAGACTTTCCTTTGCAAGTTCAGTAGTCTGGTTTCATTGCGGGTATCCATGGATGCATCTCATGAGTTCATGACGTCGTCGCTTAAGGTTTTGATCCTATGATTCAGCCTCACGAGATCTCTCACATCGTCCCTTGATCGCGGCTCTTCTTTTCAATCCGCAACAGTATTCCAGATCGAACAAACTCGTGGAGCCATAGACTTGACCTACGCACGGCTTATGCGACCATCTTGTGACCATGTCCCGACTAGCGACCTGGTGAACCGTCCACATCACTCACGTCCGCACCGACCATGTCCTGCTCATCCGGCAACGTCATACCCTCAACCACCTCCTCAAAGCTTTCCAGCTCCACGAGCTTGGCCTCGGACGCCGTGATCTTCAGCTCCATCTCCTGCTTCAGCACCTCGACCGTTGCACTGAAGCCAGCGAGGGCCTCAAGTAGCGCACATGCAGTTGCTAGTGTATCGAGATGATCCTTCGTCGCTGAAATTGCTTCATCGATGGCAGCGTAGAGGAGGTCGCGCGTCGTGAGCGTCGTGGGATTCATGAGAGGCGCGTGCGCGGCAAGAACAGTGACTATGGATGCGAGGTCGGATACTGTACTACCGGTGCTTGAGGACGCAGCAGGGGAGTTTGTAATTTTTGAGGCAGTGTCTTCTTCGGTGATCTCGGGAAGCACGTGTACGGTATGTGGCTCGGGTGTTCGTGGCGGTGACGGCTCTTGCGATAGCGGCTTGGACTCGTTTGCGGGTGACTTTGCGATGAGAGGCGACCTTTCATTCTCGTCGATCCTGGATTGGACTGCGTCGCGCTTGAGTTTGGAATTCGGACCGTGTCTGAAGATGTGTCGTAAAAGACTTCCTCGCGTCATCGTGGCGGTTGTGGTTGTTTTGGCTAGGTCAGGGAGTCAGGTCGCCGCGACTATACCGACGGGAGCGAAATATGACTCCCAGCGTAAGGTGTCGGCGTAGACGCGGGAGATTGGTTGGGTGACGGCGTTGCCGCAGTCGCAGTAAATACTTGCTCACCTACGATATAGTCGCGCTAGCCAAGGCCATATCGACAAACGCACGATCTCGTATGTACTTCCAGAACACTACTGTTCTTCTGTTCCTCTATTAAATCTCCATCAATTATTCAAAATCTCCTGATGGCCTTCAACAACACCTACGACAGTGCTCGTGACCCTCGGCTTAATCGTCAGCCTAGCAATGTCGACATGCCTGATGCAGTGTCTGCTGTCCCAACATCAAATCGCCAGGCCATTCCGGTGCCGCCTAAAGAGCTGTGTGTACCCTGAAACAATCTCCCAAAAAGCTCTTGCTGACTCCATCACAGTGCGGCGCCGCCTTCGATCGATGGCTACTTGGCACCAATGAGACGGGTTCCCGAGCTTCTTGCACGCATCGCGGACCAGGAAGCTGACAACGCAAGACTCCAGCAAGAGAAGACGGCTGCCAAAAAGATGTCCAGCGACCACCATACTCGTCTCACGCAGGCAACGAAGTCCTTGGGCGATTTGACAGTCTCGTATTCGAAGCGCCTGGAGGAGAAAGACGCCCTACTCAGTGAGAACGTCGCAATCGAAGAGCGCGACACACTTACGAAGAAGGAAATCGCCAAGTCCACCCGCGAGATCAGCGATATGACGATCAAGATCCAAGAGATGGAGACCCAGATCCAAGCATACGAGGTCGAGAATTCGGAACTGCAAGATCGCGTCACTACATTGGAGACAGAAGCACACAGTCTGCAATGTCACGTTCAAGACCTGGAGTTTGAGAGAGAGCATGACCGGATTTCGGAGGATTCCCGTGGATACGTCAGAAACGGTAGAAGGGACTCCACGCAACGCCCCATGTCGAACTTTGACCCCACTCCTCCGCGCCAAGGTTCAGACCGAGACCGAGAATCGAGGCACAGCGAGGCGGTATACGTTGAGCATCGGAGGAGGTCGAGTGGACTCTACGAGCGCGACGGTCATCGACGAGGACCTCACAGGGAGGGCGGTCGTGGTCGAAACGAACGGACCAGGTCTTCGATCAACGACCGCTTCGTCCCGGACATATATCCCCCTACCGGACCTCGAGCCGAAAGGCGCTAAGGCAACGAGCAGAACGGGTTGGGAAGGGTCGTGATGATGGCGACGGGGTGTAACAGACACCGGTCTAGGCAGCAAGACTGATAGGGTTGGCGGAGCAGAGTCGGTACGGAAGGCCTGCTCGACTTCGCCGGAGGAGAACCTGTGGGAATTAAGAGACGTACCTATTGGAGTCCAACTGAATCGGTCCCCATGTTGGTCGCTCGTTGCCATATGATACTCTATGATAGCAGATGCATTAGCGTGATGAGAGCTAATGCCGGTTGCTTGAGTCATGTTCATTATCCCTAGTTTGATTCACTGCTAGTGAGGCATGCGTGGAGACTCACCGTGCCGTATACTAAAGGAAGTCTTATCGCTGCTGTCGTGCATGTGTTTGTAGGATGTGGCCAAAGGACAGTGAGATAAAGTCCAGACTCACCAAGTCATTAGGGTTGTCTCCACCTATGATAAGAGTCTCCGCGGACGATTATACATATATGTGAAGAGGCTAGTGAGAGTCAGGGTACGCGGAATGTTAATATCACGCCGCGATATTTGTGGAGAAGTGACTTGGAAGGAAGCTCGCGTAACAGAAGTCGACATGGGGGCAAGAACATCGGACATAGAAGCCGCCTCACGTGACGTGCTCGTTAACCGTGAACGGGCCGCTAGTTCATCTCAGTTAAGGACCCCGAGAATGAGGTTCGCTTAAAGTAAGGGGATCTGTAGGATTGCGCAAGACATGTGTCTGACTGGTTGATCGGATCTGGACAGGAAGATAGGCGAAGCCACGATGCGACTGCGCCGCATGCCGGTACGCGAGCCAACCACTTATGTAGAAGCAGGCGTTGCTCGCTGCCCGTTCACCCAATGGTGCTGCTTTATTCAATAATCGCGCAACGGGCGACGTTTCTTACTGCGTTGGTGGCAGCTGAGTAGTAGACAGGACCCATGTTCGTACTGTAACGCAATAAAAGGGCCGTTTCCGCGTCAGAAGGCGTCCTCGGAGCATCATCCGTCTATCTCCATTCGTGCATACCATCTTGAGAACCATGGCAGAACCAATGAACAAACGCGTCGTTGTGGTAAGTCGCCGTATATGCCATGGCTAATATGAAGCTGATGATTCCAATAGGTTGGTGGCTCGATAGCTGGGCTCATGCATGCTGTGGCGCTCAAGTCTCATGGCCACAGTGTTGTGGTACTTGAGATGCGAACTGAACAGCAACTCCAAGCCCGCGCTGCAGGCTTGAGTCTGTGGTCAAACGCACAGAAGGTCTTCACAACATACTTACCCGATGTCGAGCTTGACGACATCGTTTTCCGCAACCCCGCATTTCCAATCCTTGACAAGGATGGTAAGGTCTTGGTTGAAGTACCGTTCACGGAAGACGTGCGCACTTCGTGCTGGGCTGGTCTTCACGGTTTGCTATGGATGGCCTGCGAGAAAGACTTCGAGGGCCATGGACCTGTCACCATGCGGTGTGGATACCAGGTATGCGGGCTGACTGAGCAAGCTGACCACCTTATGGTAGCGTACAAGGGCGAAGATGGCGCCGAGGAACAAATAACTGCAGACGTTGTTGTGGCGGCCGATGGTGCGCGATCCCATCTTCGTAGCCTTGTCCTTCCTGATGTGAAGACCGATTACGTTGGCTATGTGGCGTGGCGATCACAATTCCCTGAAAAGGATGCGCCCGAGGAGCTACGTTGTGCGATAGAGGGCAAGATGCCTCTTTGCATGCTGGACGGGAGCTACATAGTGGTGTAAGTTGGACATGGCGATGTCGACCAAGGCTAACATGTGGAAGCTATCTATCGCCTAGCACGATCGGAGACATGCGTCCTGGGAACCGTGTCATCGAATGGTGTTGGTATGATGCGTGCGACGCTTCGACGCCAGTCTTTGCGGATTACATGACCGACGTTAATGGTGTCCGACATAACGTCACCGTACCCGGGAATTTGTTGCGCCCAGATGTTTGGGAGGCTCAGCTTAAGCGAAGAGATAAGGTGTTGTCTCCAATGTGGAGGAAGATCTTCCACGAGTCGAACCCGCCGCTTCTCACAGCCGTTCGTTGTATGTGCCGTCCACATACCCATTCAATGGCAGGTATACGCTGACTGATGCAACCATCTAGCGTTTGACAATACAAAAGCTTCGTTCTTCGGAGGCAAGCTACTGCTGGCCGGCGAGGCGTTCATTCAGCTTCGCCCACATCTTGGCGCAAGCTGCGATATCGCAGGGTTATCGGCCATTACATTGCCGCGGGTTCTGAGTGGGGAGATGAGTCTGGAAGAATGGGAAAAGAAAGTGGCTCAGCACGCTATGGAGAAAGCGATCGGAAGCAGGGCCACTGGTATATTCGGCATGACGGGGCAGTGGCCGGAAGGCTATACAGCAGAGTCTGCGGCAAAGTTCTCTGAGGAAGTGACGGCTTGAATGGGTGAAGCTTGCCGTGAAGCTTGCCGTGTGAAGGGATAGAAACAAGGGGGAACGATGACGTATGTGAGATCGGAAGCTGCCCCGTCCCGGGGCCGGCGCTAGCGAACGATCTAATCGAACCGAGTTAGGGACTGCTCTCTCAACAGCGCAACGTCTCTCGCCATCCCACAGTACTGACACGTTCACAGAGTGATTCGTGGCCAGCTTCAGTGATGCTAATTGAAGGTACTTTTTTGACCATCTGATGATAGCAGGACCTGCTATCGTGTGGGCACGTTGGCCTGGCAAAAGCTACACACCCAAGAGCCTACATCGACGTTAGGTTAACTACTTTGCATGTTTTCATGTTGATGTAGTCCGCAGACCTGTCTAGACCTTTCCTTGTGTAAGGTGCGGACGAACTTTGACGCGAGTCGGGCATCGGTGTACTGTAAATGTGGATACGGAGTCCGCGCAACGCGCCTGAGTCCGGCATCATCAGCACCTTTACCGTACAACACGCGTCGAACAATCAACTTCTCGGAATCCGTGGAGCGACTTCATGCAACTTTTCTTGGCGAGAAACCTTGCAGTGTTCCTGTAAAGGTCCGAATATCTATTACGCCGACAGCATCAAGTCGACAAGCCTCGATGAACTCTTGACATACAGTACGATGTACGAAGCGATGTACGAAGCGATGAACCATTTAAGTCTTGCTGAGTGTATAGATATTTTGCATCATCACTCTATCGTGGCTCAAAGCGAATTCTGCAAACATGGCCTCTCAACTCAAGGACGCGTGGGAAATATCCTTCCTTGGCGGACGCTCCAGCTTCGAGATTGGAATGGGTCTCGTCCTCTTCGTTCTCATTTTGGGCTTGTCCCGTGCAATTTATCTGCTGTACTTTCATCCGCTAGCATCTTTTCCTGGGCCCTACAAGGCGGCCCTATCAACGTGGTGGCAGTACTCTTTGAGCAAGACTGGTAGAACGGAACAGATACTCGAGCAGCTGCATGAGAAATATGGTACGTCTGAGCATGAGTTAGATGGCCACATACTGACAGCCTGAACAGACACTCAAGCACTCCGAATCGGGCCAAATGAGCTACACATTACTGATCCCACACTCTATCATACGATCTACTCGCAGCGGTACATCTTCCCAAAACACAAGTACTTCTATGATGGTTTCAACAATCTATCCAATGTCTTCATCGAGGCAGACAAAGATGCACACCGTGCGCGACGTAAGCTTCTCAACAACTTCTTCTCGAAAGCGTCAATCAGATCCATGGAGCAGACCTTGTTCTCCAAAGTCAGCCTGTTATGTGACAGGCTATCGGATACCAAAGACAACGGTGCTATCAATCTCTATCACGCTTTCAGGTAGCACTTCCAACTTTTTCTGGGGCAGGGATGTCGCTAAAGCCGTTACAGGTGCCTTACGGTTGATTTTATTACGCAAATCGCGTTTGGGGAGTCCTTCAACATGCTCACCGAAGCTGAAGACAACACGTTTGACGCACCGTTCATTAAGTGTTTTGATCTAGCATCTGAGCAGATCTGGGACATTTTGTACTTCCCCATCCTCCGGAAGATTGCATTCAATTGCCCACCAAGTGTGACTGCCAGGCTCAGCACATCGGCCGCAAGGTTCCAGGGCCTCCTTCGTAAGGTCGCGAAGACTGTAGTCAACTTCAGAACTTTGAAGGCGTCCGGCAAATCCTTGGACCATGAGATTGTCTTCGATGCTATGCAACACCTCGACGATGCGACAGTCGAATCCGAAGCCGCGAACATCTTGATCGCAGGTTCTGATACAACGGCATTCACGCTCTCGACCGCTGTTCAGCATATGATGAAAGACCCTGCCATCTTTGTGCAACTCAGAGAGGAACTGAGGAAAAGCGGCGTTGCGGCGACCCCGGATTTCACGCTCGTGAAACTAGAGCAACTTCCATATCTGGTACGTATCCTGATGAGATTGCAATAAGAAGCTAACCCTCCTAGACTGCTTGTGTGAAAGAATCATTGCGCTATGCCATGCCCGTACCGGGACGACTTCCTCGAGTCGCACAACATGGAATTCAGCCTCTCGTGGTAGGCGGAAAGGTTGTCCCCGCTGGAGCTGTCGTTGGCATATCCGCCTACAGCATGCATTTCGACGAGAGCATCTGGGGCGAAGATGCCAGGAAGTTTAACCCCGCTCGTTGGCAGACCGAAGACGCAAAAGAGCTTGAGAAATATCTCGTGACCTTTTCCAAGGGCGCAAGGCAATGTCTCGGGATCAATCTGGCATATGCCGAGATCTATCTCACCTTGGCGATGCTCGTCAACCGATTCCGCCTCGAACCGGATACGACCATTACGGCATCTGATCTCCAACCCCTGGACCATTTTGCCACTGAGTACGAAGGAACTGGCGTTCGCGCCATGGTTTATGAGGATTAGCCGTGGGTCTTCGAGGTTTTCCCATCGGAGTGGTGCTGCGGGGACGCCTTTCGTTATTGGGTCCAACGCACGCTTTCCTAGCCTCAGCTCGTTACGAAGATGGAGTGATGAGGAGAACTGACGCAGTGTGGAGTGGCGGGACGGTTACATACTGTGGGGGTATGTTGTCTTGGTTAACATGAAAATGCGCATGTGCGATAGCGAGTTAAATCAAATCATTGATAGTTGGGTCATCGTGTTCAAGACGGCAGTTTTGTGTATTAAGAAAGATAGCTCAAGTATTTGTAAACATGGGTGTGAGCTCATGGTGGGTATAGTGAAGGCAGGACATCGTTATGTTCATCGTGAGTGGGGGCGGTCAAGATATTCGGGTAGTTGATTGAACTTCAGGGAAGTGATCGTTGATTACCGAGTGGTCAAGTATGTGTTAACAGGTTGAAGTATCGTATCCTTGACGTGTTTGATGACTTCGAGGTTGATCCTAGAGCGAGAGGTGCGCTCAACATCTAGTATCAGGTCAGAATGCGGCCTTCATCATTGGCGTATCTGTTCAGACGTACCCTGTACTTCGGGCTGGACTTCAAGGTACTTTCGTCTGAGAACATGCCCAATAAGTAGTATTGATGGGGGACATGTTGCTACGAGCGTGACGATTGCAATGATGGACTCATTGGAAAGGGGTGACATAGTGTCTGATAAGGGCAGCAATAGGTAATGGCAATCTTCAACTTGATAAGATATATATGAGATTCTGATGCTATTAGAAACACCTCTGAATTCGTAAAAGCTCATGAGGGACTGTTTGAGCATTTAAAGGTAGTAGTATCGCCAAGCAAGTAACAAAAAGAACCTCGCGCCACAGGTCACCGATTAGGAAAGTATCGTGTTCGGAAAGTTAAGCCGGTGAGCGGGTAGCCAATGAAATAGGGAAGCGTAGCTCAGCCTCGTCTGACTTCTCATCCTATGCCTCTCCCAAGATCCACAAGGGCGATAGTGCAAGGAGAATCACTGCCACGCCATATGTCAATTTGATATGCTACCAGAACCCCGTTTTTCAACAATTCCTCATACTTGTGATCTCCAAAACATCTGCTTACCATCGTTAACATGACATGACGGTCCATTTCCATTCTTGCAAGGGTCTGCCGTTCTTGGAGACCAGATGTGTCACAGAGATTGAATCTACTGTGAAATCATTATAGAAGTGTGACTATGGTATTGCAACAGGATAGATACACCCCTGGGCGGATGTAAAACTCAGCCGCTTGCAGGACCAAAGGCAGCCTTGGGACAAAAGACCCTATGCCGTATCGAGCGTAGCGGCTCTGGAACAGATCAGAGGGTCGTAGGGCTGCAATCTGTTAAGTGCACGTTCCCGTGTTAAAAGACTGTTTGTGATGTGCAGGCCTCAGGTCCATAGGGCTCCTTATGATGAGTATTGCGCCAGTCCTCAAGGTCAACGGCTGTGACTACCTAGGTACTCACACGCGCCGCCGCCGAAGCACATCCAACTACGTGCGCGTGGCATTACAAAATGCGGCGTATGGCCTACCACCCGGCCGTAAGCCACTTGGGTAACACGCCTGCGTACAGTTCGTTCGACTGCGACGGCTTCGAAAGAATATCGCTCGCACTTCTTGTCCAACGCTTTCCGTCTGCGTACCCGTTTGCTTAGGCGTGTAATAAGCTGGTATCGTGGCCAAGTTCTCGCTCATGGTAGTAACCGGTCGATGGTCACTGCCTAGGTGGATTGGGCTCGCGGCTGGCGCCAGGATCTCCGAAGCGGCCAGTCTAACGCCAAACGATTGTTGACAGGCTCGCAGAGCCAGAGCCATGGCTCCTCCCAATACAATCATCCAGTTGCACGAGGTCAAAGGCAGAAGGTCAATTCCATCGAAGTGAGGAAGTGGTGGAAGGCGGCAAGAAAGAATTTTTCATGATGTTGGGGTGTGGCATTTGTATTGAAACATATGAAAGCTACTTAGGTACTGGGGGTGTCAGAAAGCTGGCTGCATAGAACCATCCGTCTTCTCCCTGCGCGCAAACAAATGAAAGCTATTGGAGATACCAACGATCATTGTCCACACCGGTGCAAATAGATTTGATACATTGGCATACTAAGTCGTGCATCCTCCTGATAACCCAACAGAGGTAAATGATTGATGACTAGGTACATGGGCAAGACCCGGCTGAGGTACCAGTAGGTCAATCGGACTGTCGACGATGATGTTTATAGTTGGCTGAGCAGGGCGATTGGCCAGCTCAACATCTAGAGTGGTGTTAGCCGGAAGTCGCGATGCAAGCTTTGAGCCAAGCTTTACATACCAGACTGATAGGGCTGGCGATTGCGACGTGCCCGTCTGACGAGGTGAAAGAGAAGCGCAATCGAAGGGGGGCATGTCACCACGAGCGTGATAATAGCAATTATCTCCCCGTTGGAGAGCGAGAATGGCATGATCTCTTGTTTGCGTAAGGACTCGGAAAGTGGAATATAGATTGCGCTAGGAAGTTCGGTATAGATTAGTCGATGTGCGATATCGATGCCGTTGTATATGCAGCTGGAATTGTTTCGTGTCGTTTGTGAAGAATCTTGGTGAGGGAGGGAAGAGGGCATATTAAAGACATCTGCTGATCGAACGGGATCTGTGGCGCATGCCAGCTTCTTAGTCGTCTTCTCTCACATAGGTCAGGAATTGAACGAATTTGACCTCATACCAAGAGCACAAGCAAAGGCCAAGGATCCGAACGCAATGACGGGTCCAATCGCCATGCTTCGTTCATGCAGGGCTACGCAGTGGCGCGAGGCCAAGATCTGACAAGCTTTGTGATTTCCAAGGTTGCAGCAGGCTGGCTCTCCTGATGCTTGGTCCCGTGGCTGCCGGTCTATCGTGGCTGATTGTCTATCGTGGCTGATGGTCTATCGTGGCTGATTGTCTATCGTGGCTGCCGGTCTATCGTGGCTTTGGTTGCGAGATTGCGCCCTTCCATCTCTGATGACGCACGGCAGTGCGTCCCATGTCTCGTTTGCAAGCTGGCAAGCTTTATCTTTTGCCTTTGACCTACCTCTTTCTTGACCCAGGGCGGTGCATTCTTGGCGGGCGTAAATGCGCAAGCGGAGGGCGGAAGGCCCAGTCGTTCAATTGCAACACATTGCCCGCCTCTGTGTCGTCACTTTGTTCATGATCTGGGTTTCTAATGCCAGGCACGGACATTCGTTCGACAAGCGATGCAGCATCCTCCTGCGGTTCAACCCATGAGGTCAACAAGTACACGCGACCATGGTTGCAACCCCATGCAAGGATAGTAGCGCATTCCTTTGCCTCGACATTCATGCAGTTCTTCGAATCGGACAACTACGCGTGACGAGGCCTGTGTGTGAGAATACGCGGGACGAGGCGCTGGGGAGCGAGAGGCGTCGACAGCCCACGTGAATCGCATTAGGCTCCCCGTCACCGTCCCGGACAGAAGTGTCGTTCGCCATGCCGCCGTTGGATATCGGACGCTGTAGCGCATATCTGCATCCAGAGGTTTATGTGCGGGATACCGGGTCGATGTCCTTATGGAGTTGAATCTCGCAATTGTGAATAACGATGGTTTGCAATGAAAAGTGCACGTCACTGACAGTGGGGTGGCGTAAGGCGTCCACGGGTATGACAGTCCAGACCTGGGCGGGCATCCAGGCGTTCAGAAACGCGGGCACTGCCCTTCACGCATCGCAAGCCTGCAACTTTGGGCTTTCTGGTTCCGGTCAATGGGCCAATAGTAGAAAAGTATGTCAGTCAAACGGGCAAAGGAGAATTGATCGATCAGCACTTCGAAGTGAGACATCGAGCTAGCAGCTAAGTGGGGCAGAGACCTCGGGAGCACCGAAGCGGCCCGCCCGGCGCCAGTTGCTTGTCGGCGGGCACACCACCCCCACGACACCTATCTTATATAGACCCTACAATCCAATCGCGACAACGCTCGAAGGCTTTCCAATGACATAAATCTCATTTTTTTTGCTTCACGTTGACTACGTGCAGTTCGATCACAAATAGACCTGCGGACCGCGCGGGGCATTCCGTCCGGCGCACGCGAGTGACGCAATCGCCTGGTCCTCAGCATTTTCCATTTGACGATTGATGAGGCTGCATCGGGGTGTCATCGCCTGTTCATGGTCTATGAGCGTCACGGTCTGGATGTAAAAGCTTAGGAGACGGGAATGAGTTGTAAGTGGTCTGGTGGCAGTTTCATTATGTTTCCTTATCCTACGTCGCTCGACCTAGCTCTTGTGTGGACGATCGTCCTGCATCTCATCGTCAACAACATCTCCTTTTAACCCAAGGCTGGTCTGGCTGCAACCAAATCCTCGATATGCTCAGCTATACTGCTTCTCAGGCTTTTGACAATCTCTTGTGCATTGTGGAAGAGAAGTTACCTTTGCCTTTAAGTCGTGGAAAAGCTTTGTGGGATTGTTGTCGCGCCCATGTCGGCGAGATAGGCGATGGTCATCGCCGAGAGACGTAAGTAGACGTGGGTCTGAGTAAAGTCTCATCGACGTGCTTGATAATCTTGCGATCGATGGCTGAGCGAAAGAACTCGTTATCTAGGAAGCTGTCAGCGACGGAAAATGAGTGTTGACACATATCAACGAACCGTTGAAGTCTCTTTGGACCCGACCTTTACGCCTGAGCAGGTGCCAGATGAGAACCACGGAGGGTGGACATGTTGCGACGAGACTGACGATAGCGATGATAGATTCGTTCGATATGGTAGACATGGCGGACATGATTGGCTGAGCGACAGGAATCGACCAGTACGTATGGGCTGCACTTGACAAGATAGTCGAAACAAGCGTTGTGAATGAGGAATGTAATCGTGTGTGAAAGCTTCGTTATGCTCAAGTTGCAATCTTCGAAAAACATGGCAAGGCGCTTTAGATAAAATATTCTGACCGATATTCATCGTAGAACTCGTATGCCCCGATCACCCTGAATGCAGGGAGACGTGGGCAAGTCTTC